GACGGCAATTCGTTACTAGTTAGCGGATTATCCTAGCGAGGATTAGACGACGTTTATTCTATAGCTATAGGCTACGCTTAATAACTCCCGTAATACGACTACTAGTTAGTCGCCGAACGAGGTTACTACAGGCGTAAGGACGAATCTCGACTCGCTCGATATACTATACGACTATGCGTATAATAGGGCGGTAGCGCGTAGTCGTATCTAGAAGGAAGTCTAGGATGCGATTACTTAGGCGAACGTAAAAATAAAAAAACGGTATAATAGTAAGTATAAGCCCCTATTCCTTAAGCTAGGTAACCGTATTATACTTCGCCTATACCGTAGTTACGAAGTGCCTAGTTAGTTATACAAGTTTAGCTACTATTTTAAAGAGCCTTTTACGGTTCTTAAGAAGGTCGGACGGCTAGCCTACTATCTCGAGTTGCTACTATTAATGCGTATCTATCCGGTAATATCGGTTTCGTAGTTAGAAAAAGCTCCTAAAGACCTAGATCCTTTTAAGAGAACTATTAATTACGAGCCCCTGCCTATTATAGCTAAGGACAGTCTAGGTTCTAGTAACGAGGGCGATTCTTACGAAATCGAGCGCTTTCTAGAGCGAAGGACCGTCGTCCGGAGGGGCTAGCCTATTCTCTAATACCTAGTAAAGTAAAAGGGATATAGGAGCGCCTATAATATATAGTATAATGTCGACGACTTAATAGGCGTAGACGATCTACGTAAAATCTACGATAACGCCTACCCTCTCGAGGAGGCCCCGCTATCCCGTACCCTCCGTAGGGTAGTAAAGCGGACGAGAGCGCGCTAGCCTTTTTTAGAGGTTACTAGCTCCGCCGATAAAGGCGAGGTCGGATAATCCCTCGCGGTTCGTCGTAAATCGATATAGCTCTATAGCGCGACTTCTCCTTCGGAGTCGTAATCCGCCTAGGCGTACCCTTATATCGTTATTATAACTACGTTACTTAGGCAACCGTTATACGTAGACGCGGGCTATCCTTTATTTAGCATCGATCTTTCCGGCATCCTACGATAAGAGAGCTTTCTATTAATTACCGACAACGAATAGAAACGGCCCTTAAGCGCGATAACTACGTCTATCGTAGGGAACGTAAAGTAGTAGCTTTTTAGCAAAAATTTCTATAGCACTAATCGCGATATAAGCGCCTAAACGTTATATTATTCGAGGCGGATTTATAGCGCGCGTCTCGCCTATACTATAAGGCCGATACGTTCGACCTCCTCTAAGGAGCGATAGCTAAGGAATATCGTAGAAGCGAGGATTAAGAACCCTAGGATACCGCGATAGGGAATAGTAAGGTTAACGCTCCTCGCGGGGAACCGCTACTATTAGACGGTCTAGGATCGGCCGGATAGTCCTTATTTATTACTAGCTTAACGCCTACGCCTAAGCTAGAGAGTAGGGTAAGTAATAAGGATATAGTATTAGATACTACGGTCGAGAATTATACGGCCGCGCCTAAGCTAGATAATATAACGGATAAGGAGGTTGTAGTATTAGATACTACGGTCGAAAGTCGTACGGCCGCGCCGGAGGTAGATAATATAATAGATAGAGAAGATACGATATTAGACGAAACGGTCGAGAATCGTATAGCTACGCCGGAGCCTAAGGACGTAACGAGTAGAGAGGATATAGCCTTAGACCCTTCGATCGAGGTTCCTACGCTCGCGTCTAAGCTTAAGTATATAACGAACGAGAAGGATATAACGCTTAATACTACGGTCGAGGAACGTACGGCTACGCCTAAGCTAGAGAATTTAGAGGGCCCGGTAAAGGATTCGGTAGGTAGAGAAGACGCAATAGCGGATTAGATCGGCGAGCATTATAGAGAGATAGATAACGCTACGCTTAACCTATAATAAACGCGTCTAGAGGAATATAGTACTAACCTAGCGTAGACGCTAGAGGGCTTTACGATCCTCGCTATAGCGGAAGGCAATCTTCGATAGACCTTTCGTAAGGCGCTATCGCTTATTTCTACTAACGGTAGTTTAAGTACCGGCGAGGTTTAGGCGGTATTAAGCTACGCTACTAAGAATAGATATATACGGCCTTTCTTAATATTTACCGAGGACGGATTAGATATAGAGCTATACTACGTATTAACGGACTCTAGTCGATAACTATTATAGCGATACGTACCGTTGTTCTTAGGCTGTAGTCGTATTAACGATACGCTAATAGCGAGCTTAGTACCGTTACCCCCGGCTAATAATATAGACGAATCTAATTTAGAATTACTCGAGGTAATAGCTCGCTCGTAATCGTAGGAGACGCCGGGTAGCGAGTTTAGTACTATATAGCGTTAGACTATTGCTAGCCTATCGATAGTGCTTCCGAATCTAGACTATCCGCTCTCTAATATTAGACGGTTTTCCTTTCTAAAATATTACGTACTAGCGGTTATCGCGGCGGTTAATCTAGATTACGTTTTCGATAGGAAGTCGTTTATATAGGCGGTTACGGCGCTTACTACGAAGAAGAAATAGATAGATAGATAGATATTTCATTTGCCTGTTGTAGTGCCTTTCGGCCTATATAGGTCTGTTTCTATATATTGTTTTAGGTAGGAAACTAACTTAGTTGGTAAAAACCTCCCTCCTGTCCTATTTATAAGTGTTAATCTTCCTCGTTTCCTTGTTTTCCTTCCTCTAGGGTGTACTAATGTTATAGTTATTACCCTCTAACTACCTTGCCTGCTACCTTGCCCTTCTTTCCCCCTCTTCTTCCCTCCTTCTTATCTACTCCTTAGTTTCCCTTACTAGTGCGAATTGTTGTACAAATCCCTATTTAATGATCTACTTTACTATCCTCTTTAGGTCTTCTTTGCTCTAGATTAGCTTGTCGTATTCCCTTTCTATTGCTTTTAGTCTCTAATTACTTCTGCCTTCTAACTACTAAGGGCAGACTAGCAGCATATGCTTAGGGTTCTAAGATTAGTAGCTATATTAGTACGCTCTACTTTCAATTCCTAGGACGTTTCTTCTAAATAGGTAAGATCTAAGTCCAATATGTTTAGATCTAATTTGGATAGCTAGGCTTGCCTCGGCCCTGTTTAGGTCCTTATAGAGCTAGTAGTTGTGTTAACCAAATTTGATTAGTGCCTTTAGGGTTCCTAGTCTGACTTATGTTTTGTTCTATTCCTGCTTCTATAGGTATCTAGCAATTGACTCTACTAGGCTTTGTTTCTCTCCCTTTAGCTTGTCTTCCTTCGGCCTTATATTTAGTCCCTAAAGCTCTTTCTCTAGCATTTCTCTTGTTAAAACTCTATATTGCTCTAGGTCTTTAACTTTCTAGGGAGTTATTTATAGTCTGTCTCGCCTCCTAGTCCTAATGCACTAGGCTTTTATCTTATCTAGTGCCTTTTAGATAGTCTATTAGACTAGGTATTCTATTGTCTTTGCCGTATATTAGTATCTTAGTCCCTTGAAGTATTGTTTAACTAGTAGGATCCCTAATTCTATTTCCACTACCCTTATTAGTATAGTTTTGTATGCTCCTAGGATTTTCTTTAGGCTTTAGGTTTAGGACCTACTAACTAGTTACTTAATCCTCTTTAGTGTTTTCTCCTAGGCTGTCTATATCTGTACTCTATATAGTATTGCTAGCTTAACAATTGCTTTGTATATAACTTTAGCTTTCTCGAATATAGCCCCCTATATAGAGGCTATAAGTCTATTAATAGATTGCATGTTAGCATCTGCCCTCTACTTTGCCTTCTTTACTTGTAGTCCCTAATTCAGTTTTAGATCTAGCTAGATCCCTAGTACCCTAAGCTCTGCTAATAGTTAGGTTTCAAAGCCTTAGATAGTGATTGATTGCTTTATATTATAGGTTGATTTAGCCTTACTAAAGTAGATAAGCTAGTACTTTTCTAGGGCAAATTTTGCTCTATGCCTCTTTGCCTATTTTTTATACTCCTAGTGCTTCTCTTCTAGGATCTTGCAGTTGGTTTCTATTGTCTTAAACTAGGCTAGGATGTTTATATTATCTATAAACCCTAATGCTAATGTGTTTTTTAATTCTAGGAGTAGGAGTAGGTCTGCTATAAAGATAAGGAAGAGGATTAGGGAGAGTATTAATCCTTAGGGGATTCCCTTTTTAGTTAGTATTAGGTCTAATTTGAATTTGCCTAGAATAAGCTATGTCGATCTTTCCTATAGAAAGGACTAGATAAATTAGACTATCTAGTTTGGTATAGCTTTCTATTTAAGTATATATAGGAGTCTTTTATAGGAGACATTATTAAAGGCTCCTAAGATGTCGAGGGAGAGGAGGGTTGCTACCTAGTTTTAACTATAGTGCTAGATATGCTTAATCTGTTCTATAATTAGTTCTATAGCTATTAGTATTAACCTCTTCTTTCTTCCTCCTATCTAGCCTTTAGGAAGGATATTCCTTTCCTCGGTAAAGGTTATTAGCCTTTTAGCGATAATTTTCTCTAGTACCTTGCCTATTGTATTAAGTAGGGCTATTAGTCTATAGGCCTTAAGCTATATATAGTCTTCCTTCTAGGGCTTCCTTAGCACTACTGTTAGGGACTTCCTAAATAGTCTTAGGTAGTGTCCTAGTACTAGGCTTTATAAAAAGATATTAGCTAGTACTAGGGCTAGCCCCTTCCTATATGCTTTTAGAAGTTTGTTGTAGATCTTGTCTTCTCCTAGTGCCTTATTGCCTGGAATTTTCTTTAGGATTCTTTCAATAGTTTCGGGTTTAACCTAGGTATCTCTTAGTATGCTTAGTAGTAGAGTCTCTTATTCTTCCTCCTTTATATCTAATAGGTCTGCTTATACTTTTCTATAGAAGAAGTGTTAGCCTAGGGCTCTTGCTTTCCCTTCTATTATAGTCTACATTTGTCCTTATTAGTCTATAATGTCTAGGAATTGTAGTAGTATATTCTTTTCCTGTTTAGGCCTCCTTGCCTATTTAGCTATCCTCTATATCTCCTCTAGTTTCTTTGTAATCATTCCTATTATAGATCTCTATTCTTGCATCTTATCTTTCTTAATCTAGATCTTCTTTTCCTAGCTAGCTTTATTATAGTTGTCCTATACTTCCTAGGTATAGGTTTATATCTACTGCCTCCTAGCCTTCCTTACTACTTTAACCTTCCTTATATACTTACTAGTCTAGTATAGTTACTAGTATAGTAAATGTTTCTTTGCTAGGGTATGCTTTCTAGCTACTTGTTTTAGGATTCCTATTAGTTCTTCTACTGCCTTATTAATGTCCTCTAGCCTTAGTAGGTGCTTTGTTAAGAGTTCCTCTAGTTTTAGGTCCCTTTCTAGTTCCTCCCTAATCCTGCCCTATTTAGTACCTTTCTAGTTAAGCTTCTCCTCTAGTTCCCTTTCCTAATTAGCTTAGATATTTAGCTTAATCTGCACCGGGAAGTAGTCTAATAATTCTTCTAGTTCCTAGTTGACCCTATATCTTATAATCCTGTTCCTAATCTAATGTAATATAAAGTATAGGTCTAGTATGCTACTGCTTCCTCTTGCTTCCTAAGTAATTAGTCCCTTTAGGGTAACAATTTCTATTCCTTCCCTCTCTAATATATTAATTAGTCTTCCTACTAGGAAGTAGTAAGCTAGGGTAAAGTCTAAGCCCTAGAGGGGGTAGTAGAGGTTGAAATCCCTAAGTAGGATTTAGTAGGTATTCCCCTAGATAACTCTAGGTAGTCTTTCTAGGGTTTTTAGTTAGGTACTGCTTCTTAAGTCTACTAGTGGGTTGTATATATAGTAAACTTAGAGTATACCTTAGGATGTCTCTACTTAAACTAATATTAGGTCCCTATCCTCCTATAGTATAGCCTGCTAGGTTTCTATATCTATCTCCTTGCTAATATAGATATATATCCTTAGGGCTCCCTAGTTATAGATAATTAGGTAGTATCTTAGGTCTTTAACTATTGCTAGTCTCTTTGTATATAGGTTAAGCTAGGGCTCTTAGATTGCAATAATATAATATTCTTTTGGGTTTAGTGCTTAAAGGAAGCTCCTCTATACCTTATCTTTGCTCTTATTAACATTATACTATATAATATTTAGTAATGTTGCAATGTTTATTAGGTTTCATCTATATTATTTCCCTATAAGTTTTCCTTTAGTCTTCCCTTACTTTAGACCAATATTTAACTAAGCTTTATCTACCCTGCTTCCTTTCCTATAATGTTAAGGTATCTTAGTCTCCCTAGTTACTAGTAACTCTCTTATGCTAGTAAGGCCCTAAATATAAACCCATTATCTTGCCTAGACCTCTTTTGTAGCACTTAGCTAGGTTGCTTCTGCACCTAGCTACCCTAGCTTATTGTATATCTTTTTAGTATATTGATTCTAGCTTCCTTTGCCTTCCTAGCTGCCTATATTCTTACCGGGCATTCCTTCGCCTAAGAGGGGTGTCTTTTAGTACAGTATGCATATCTTGCTTCTCCCTTATATACTTTACATTCTTTAACCTAGTAATCCCCTATATAATAGGAGCAAGTATTAGTTGTCTTTGTATACTTAGCTGCTAAGTGTCTATAGTATTAATATTTGAAGCACTGTATTATCCTATAGTTGCTTCTATATATCTCTATTTCCAATCTTTTAAAGTCCTAGAACAACCCCTAGTCTAGTACTATATTAGCTTGCTCTACACTCCCTACCTAGATAATTAGGGAAGACTGCTTCTTAGTCTCTTCGATTTTCCTTTTAATCTATGCCACTTTTGTAATCTTTAGGCCTAGGTATATAGCTTGGTTTTGTCTCTATAGGCTCTTAACATCCCGTTCTTCCTTAAAGCTTCTTATTATGCTATAGGCTATAATTATAAACTGCTATTAGGAGACCTTTACTATTTTCCCTATCTTAGTTATCTATTCTTTTTGTGTTTCTAGCTTCTTTTTATCCTACTCTTATACTATAAATAGCTTGATTACCCCTTTACCTTCGTTCCTAGCCCTAATTACCTCTTTAACTGCAATTCTTTCTACAATCTCTTTCCCTATAAGTCCTTAGATTTCCTTTTGCTCCTATAGGTCCGTAATGTAGACTCTAACTACTATCCTCGGGGGTTTTAGCGCCTCCTAACTAGCTACTGCTACCTAGGTGCGGTAGTTTAGGCTTGTCTTCTATTGTTTCTTCGTAATCTTTACTGCGACTATATTAGCTACCTTTGTAATTACGTAGCTTGCCTAGTTATAGATTGCTTTCAGTCCTCTAAGGAGTTCTGAGATTATTATCCTATATACCCTCTTAGGGGTTCTTCTATCTTCCGCCTTTAGTACCTCCTCTGCCTTAGTATATAGTGCTTTCTATTCGTCCTCCCTTCCTTCTTAACTGTCTTCCCTTCGTCTCTAATTGTTCGCTGCTATTTTTTCTCTTCTACTATCCTACGACGTATACGAAGAAGAAATAGTTAACGGAGCTAGCGAAGGCGTTACTAGGCGAGGGCCGATAGACAGGCCGAGCGCTCTATAAGGCTATAGCCGACTACTTTATCGATAAGGACGACCCTCCGCCGTACTATTTAGGTAAATAGGAGTTTGTTTAGAAGGGCAAAGCGTTATAGGTCGAGATTCTAGAGGCCGAGAAGCTATAGGATATCGTACTAGGCTTCTTTGCCCTTTACCGAGACGCCGCTGCCTACGCGTCTAGTAGCCTAGTTAACGGTATAGAAAGCGGCCCGATTAATCCCGTTAGCGCGTAGCCTCTTAATACGCCTTCGGCTTTAGAATCGGCACTACTATTAATAATACCCGTAAATCGACCGGCTTTACTAGAATTACTATCTCCGCTAGCGCGTATACTTCCTAATTTACCGCTACTATAGGTATCTGCCTCCCTAACGTAGGCGCCGAGTAACGGCTCGCTATAAGCGCCCGTACTAGCTCCTCCTAAGCTCCTAGCTACTCCGATCGAGTCGGTTTTTAAGGAACCTCCGGTTCTATTCCCTAAAGAACTCAAGTTCGAGTAGTAGCGGCTTCGAGGCTAGCGCGCGCGCTAGACTTTAATTAATAAGCGTCTCCTTCGCGCTAACGAGACGCCTAAATAAGCTATAATCCGGTAGTACGTAGAGTACGAGGACTATAATAAGAAAGTCGATATACTAATCGCCGCTAATTCTATAGAGCGTAATAAGAATAGAGACGCGCGCTTTATCTAGGCCGCGAAGCTCGTACGTAACGCATACGCTAAGGACGCTAACGGTCGGCTATCTAATCTTTTTCGCCTACGCCTATATAAGCGAATAGTCGAATACTATTTAGTAAGGCTTTAGCATTACCTACATTATTTGTACCTTATAGCTAGCGATCGGCGCTTCTAGATTCTACGCGAATTGCATTAGTATATAGGCAAGCTAGTTACCGATTTTAAAAACCTACTCTTTATATAACTATACTCCTTCTAAATCGTAAACGACGATCTCGCCTATAAATACTCTATCTTTAGGACCGACCTCTACTCGGATAGTTACGATATATAGTAGGAGATTTACGCGATACGCTTTAGCGAGTACGTAGCGCTTATAACGGCGGGCGAATTAAAGGAGCTTCCTAACCTAGCTAACCTCGATACGAATTTTCTACTAACTATTACTTTCTACTACGCGAAGTTATAGTACCGACTCCTAGCAAACATTATCCGCTTACGCGAGAACTTCCTTAGCTTAAGTACCTATACTAGCGACTTACGATTCTAGCTAGTACTGTCTCTAATCTATAATAGAGCCGTCGGTCTTATAGTACGCGCTATCTTATACTTCCTATAGATAGTCGACCTTATATAAGAGTAGTTCTACCGCTTCGTTCTAAAAGAATATCGCAATAGTATTATAGTAGGCGGTTACCTAGTCCTATATAAGCGTAGCGAGAACGGTAAGGACGTATCCTACCGTAACTACGGTAAGGAATACTAGAAGACGGGTAAGCGACCTATTAGCGAATACGTCGGAGCGACGAAGTATTATAAGATCGACCTAACTACCTATAGCGAAGTCTAATTCTTATAAATAGTAGCTACCGGACGACTCTCGATAGTGCGCCTACCTCTACTAGACTCCTAGCTTAAGGACTATACAGTTTAGCTACTACTAATCGGTATAGAACTTAGTACCTAGTCGGCTATATAGCTCTATAAGTAGTACGAGTCGTCCCTAAATTCTAGTAGTCTCCCCTACCTATACCGTCGCAACCTAGGTCGCCTAGCTATTACCTAGGACGTCGTCGCTTATACCTAGCGGTATATTACGGTCCGTAACGCCTATACGCTTCGCGGCGAGGGCTATATATCCGCCCTCTATACTAATAAGGCGCTTGCGGATACGAAGGCTACTAATACGTCGCGTACGGAATAGTACGCTTAGCTTATAGGTAGCGGTCGCTACTAGAACGGTACCTATGCCGCTAATAAGGGCAAAGGTATACCTCTGCTCCTTCTTAACCGTTAATGCCTAGTAGACTTTAGCCTAGTCTGCTAGCTAACTTAGATCGATCCGGTATACGCCTTATCTACCTTTATCGCCTATATCTAGACGCTTAAGGACGGCGCTATCCCTAATAGATTAGAGCCCGCGCTAACGCTATAGTTCTACAATTTGCCGAAGACAGTCTCTACTAATCTAGTCTTCGATCCTTTAGGCGTCTAGGAGCGTATTATATAGGGTAATACTATTTTTAAGTATAATAAGATAGTAACGAATAAGAATTACTAGTAGTATAATATCGACTATACTTAGGATCCTATAGGCGTATTCCTAGTACCGTTACCCGACTACTCGCTAGACGAGACCGACCTTACTAACGCGCGCCTCTTTAGTAAAATCTTCCCTCCTAAGCTCGCGACTCGGGCTAAGCCGCAACCTCCGGCCGTTGCCCCGCTAACTAAGGCGATCTAGCTAAACTCCTCGCGCGCATTACTATTAACTAAGTTAAATACTCGCTAGAAGCTAACCGCTAGCCTATTCTTAGCGCCTCGCCTACCGTCGAAGATACCGCTACTATCTAACCTATTCTCTACGCCTACGAAGGCTCTAGTTACGGCTTAGCTACTACCGCCTAACAATACGGTTACGTAGCTATAGTACAAGCTCCTATCGCTTCCGATACGCTTACTATCTTTACCCGCCCTATAGGAAAACACTATAGGCGCCTACGGATAATACTAATATAATACGACGGCAATTAGTATACGTACGCTTAACTTACAAGCTCTCTACTATATACGCTAGTCCGAGTTAGTAGTAACCGAGGTATACTAGCTTTAATAGATGCTAGCTAAGGCATAGATCCGCGAAGTAACTAAGCGCTAGATAGCCTAGTAGTATCGTCTTTCCGCTATAGTCTTAAAGGAGTCGCTTACGCTATCGCTAACCTATCTTTACTACGATTTCTTACGCGTCGCGCCGTAATAGGCAATCCCTATACTATACCTAATTAACGAGGACGCTTTTAAGCTACTCGGCGGCGTATAAGGCAATACTACTAAGGATAAGATCGCGAAGCTTAACGTATAGATAGCCGACTACTTTAAGCTATATAGTGCTATACGCGACGCCGATACGCTACTATTACTAGGTACCGACTTCCCTAACATCCCTATCGATTAGTTAGACCGCGCTACTGCTATAGCGGACGCAGTTAATACCTCGCTATCCGATAACAAGACTATAAAGACCGTCGCGCCTTAGCCGTAGCTAAAGGCGGTTTAGACTATACCGACTAGCTTACGCGACGCCCTTCGTAACCGTCGTAACAAGCAAGCATAAAACCGACGTAGTTATTACTAGAGAGACACGATTCTATACCTAGTATTACCGTTCTAGTATACTGTTTAGGCTTAGCCTTTATACGACGCTATTACGCTCTTTTGCCTTAAACCTTCCTACGGTACGGCCTACTAAGGACCTTTGTTTTAGGATACTATAGATAGTACCGACCTTTTTTATAGAGAGGGAGGCTATTACGATATAACACTATTATATATACGATAGTAGGCAGCGGTTACTATCGACCGCTATAGTCGCTATTACTACTAATAGTAGGACTATTATATAGATAGCTTGCCTTGCGGCACCTTAGAGAATATATTAACTTTTGCACCGTATAACCGTTATAATACCTTCGTACTATAACCGTATGCCTAGTAATAGAGGCCTCTCGCCGATACTATTAACTAAGAATATCTATAGTTCCTATAAGGGTAACTCTATCGTATATCTTATTACCGAGATCGATATAGTTTATAAGGCCGATATAGGCAAAGCATCTATCGCCCTATCTATCTATTAGTAGTACGACGACCTTAGTAAGCTAGGCGAAGATCCGTTTACTATGTATGCTAGCTATATTAAGAAGGCCGCTAAGGCGTATAGTCTCTATACTAGTACTAAGACGAGTGTCCTTATTAGCCGCCTATTAAAGATTAGACGTAATGTCGCTTATTAAGATGCCTTCGCTGCCCTTAAGGCTAATTAGGCCTATGCTAACTAGTTTCCTAGACGCCCTATTGCTGCCCCGACATCTCTAGGACTCTACGCGTTTAACCCTACTAGTACTATTACTCGCGCCCTTACGCTAACAGATCGCTAGAGCAAGTTCGTTACTAGTATCCTTAGCTAAGGTACCTCCTTCGACCGCTTTCGCTAGACTAGTAATGCTATCTTCCCTTAAGTCTTTAGTTAGTTATAAGAGCCTCGTAGAGTACATCTTCCTTTCCTTATCGATCTAATATAGGAGGAGTTTGAAATGTACCTTTAGCATATACGTATAATGCCTAAGTCTAAGTAAGAAGGCCGCAATGCCCTTTAAACTTATAGTATAAGCAACTAAATCGTCCGCTAGCACCCTGCCCTATAGCTCTTAGCTATCGCCCTTCGATCTAATTACGTATACAAGCTTATCTCCGTCCCTAAGCCTACTAAGTTCTTTAAGGTTAGCGGTACTTATAAAAACTGTCCTTCTAAGGAGTCTACTCGTCTCGGACAAGATATAGTTAAGCTCGCAGCTAGCGAGGGTACTAGTTACCTACGTATTAAGGTCTGCCTTATATCTAAAGATAAGACTAGCTACTCTACTATTATCGAAGGTATATATTAGCCCGAGGTCTTTGCGAACTAGGTTAAGAAGCTTAAGGCTCGTAGCCTAGTCCTACTAAGTAAGATCGGTAAGCTTACTAACAAGTACCTTACTAACGACGACCTCGACTATATATTCGATAGTTAGCCTAATAGTAAGAGGCGTAAAGCGGAGTAGATCCTTAATCCTCTAAAGGAGTGCGAGGTCTCTGTTTAGATACTATACCTGCTATATAGTAATCTAAAGACTAAGAGCAACCGTATATTAATTAACCTAGGCTACTCTCGCGTTATTAACGGCACTAAGGTTGAGGGCTACGAGAACTTAATAGTCTCTTAGGTTGCTAAAGCGTACCGCAATCTAACCGCCCTCCTAGCCTCTAACTCCTTCGTACTATTCGCTTTCCCTACGGCTATCTTAGTCGAAGGCCTCGGCTATATCTCCGACGCCCTAGTTAGTAGGATTCCTTAGTTAAGTTACGTTATTTAGAACGAAGTTGAATAGATCCTCTAGCTTAATAACGAAGGACTTAAGGAATATCTATACGATTAGGAGAATGCTATAACGGAAAAGGCTACTAACCTCCTCGTTAATTAAGCTCTCTATAAGGGACAGTACTTCGGTACTAATAGCTTTAACGTATACGGAGGAGATTTCGAGAGCCGACTAGCAGATAAGGTTATTGCTAGTAAGGATTACGGCGCGTTAAAGCAATAGTAAGTCTATATAGTATTGCTTAGGAAGTTGTTTTTGCATAATTATAGTATCTAGGATAAATGCTACCCCGGGGGTGTTATTACGGAGTTCTAAAAATGGCCTTAGCTAAGAGCGCTAAGGATGCATATATGTTTGTTTTAAGCGCGTAATATAAAGCGTATCTAGTTAGATACGAAGAAAGGGAGGGATATTAGCTAGTAACCGGCCCTATACCTATAGGCTAGTTTTAAGTCTATATAAGAGGCCTCCTTCTATAGAGTAGACAGATTATTAACCTCGTATAGTACATTGTTTATATTACACTTCTACAATGCCTATATTATAGGGCTCTAGTTATTAGCCTAAGCGACAGTCTCGTTATCCTATCTTGCTAAACATAGCTGCCTATATTGCTATAGGTTATATTACCCTCGGTAGCCTATACTATTGCTATAAGTAGTAGTAGTAGTGTTAGTTTCCGTCCTTTAGTACGTAAGAGGCGGCGTAACTAGTAGATCTCCGAGAATTGTTTGCGGAAGTCCTTCTACTTCTTAACTAGGTAGACCTCGTTAATAACGACTAAGCCGATTATATTAGAGATCTTGCGTAGTATATCGCGGAAGTTAGGCATTAATGCCTACTTAGGACTAAGGATAATATACTAGTAGCGACCGGTATAGATATTATCGAACATCTTCAAATTAAGCTTCTTAGTATCTATATTAATAAGACAGACCTTTACAAGATTAGACTCGCCCTTTAAACGGCTTATCGCACGCTCGATATCGTCCTTCTACTTATTACTAATGCGAGTAAGCGGCACGATTTAGATAGTTATTAACCTAGTTAATATCGTAAAGGCCTAGAATAGAAGGGTCTTACCCGCGCTAGTCTTCGCGATTATTAGCGCGTTAGCCTATCCGAAAACAAGGCTCTTAATAATATTAAGCTATATCTCCGTCGGCTAAGGATTATCGACTTATAGATACATTATCTACAGAATACGACATAAGCTAGCCTAGATAATTAGGCGCTAGAATAATAGAGCCTCTAGTCGCTTACTAGTATCGAAGACGAGGCGCTAGATCTGTTATAGTAATAGCTAATCGGGAGAGTCCTATATAATACGATCGTAGAGGTCCGAGAAGTACCGCTTCTAGGTTTCTAGCGACGTATTAGCATCTAGCAATAGAGCGCTACGATCCTTAGTCTACTCGGGGCGCGTACGATTAATAGAAGTACGGCTAGGCAATCGAGTCTTTATATACTTCTTATACTAGTGCTACTTCTCTTATCCGATACGAGTATAATAGTTACTCGGTAGGCGACTAGGGCTATTATATCCGCTATACGCTTTTAAGCGCTTCTTCTTACGCTTGTTCTTATTGCTTACTATTCTAGCAACTAGCGAAGGCGACTAGCGAAGGCGACTAGCGAAGGTAACTAGCGAAGGCGACTAGCGAAGGCGACTAGCGAAGGCGACTAGCGAAGGCGACTATTAGTATATTAATACGCTAGGCGTTGCGTCTAGTAGTGTTCGAAACAACTAAAAGGGTTAAGTATATCTAGAAGGTATATCTAGAAGGTATGTTCTAGAAGGTATGTTCTAGAAGTAGTAGGTCGAAATTTGCTATATTAGCTTTAGAGGCTAAGCCTATAAGTAAAGCGTCGCGAATAGCCTTAGGACAACTACGTACGTTACTTTTACGATATAAGAATACTTAGAGGTTAGAGAGCGGCTAATTCTAAAGGTCCGCTTCTACTTATAATATTATAAACGGCGTTGTTTAGTATCGCGTTTAAAGCCTTTCGGATACGATATAGCGTCGAAGAGATAGTATAAAAATAACATTTCTAGTTTGTAAATTTTTATTGCCGTATCTATACGATAGGTTCTATACTATATATATCGTAATATTAATATCGCTACGCTCTAGGAATCTCTCTTATAGTGTTTTAGCCGATTCCGAGCGTAGACGGAGGTATATCCGATATTTAATATTAGTCGGAGTAGTAATCTAACTAAGATAGCGCAAGAATAACCGGCTTCTAACACAATGTCCTTAGGCGCTTCGCTAACGCTCGCAACTAGTCTACTATACTATATCGAGAAGGCCGGGAACCGAAACGTAGGTTTTAAGATAAAGGAAGTTACATATAAAGGAAAGTGGAAGGTAGGTAGAAGTCACGAGCTTATATGCGGAGCGGCTGAGTGGAGGTAGGACCTGGTATTGTCGCCGCTCATAGTCGAGCGTGGTACTGGCCGGTGCCCATGGACCACCGCACTGCCTTCAGTGCGTAGAGAGCCCAAAGACCTTAGTCATGGCATAACAGAGCAACACGATCCCGCCGCAGATACAGGTTCTCAAGATGAAAGAAATCACCATCGGCCCTTGCAAATCGATAGCAATATGCTATGTCCTCCCCGAGCAGAGTGGCCAGAACTCTCCGAATGTATGCCAAGTGACTAAACTACAAGATGCTAATCAAAGACTTGGATCGGTCCCTGATGACGAGAAAGCTACGTTCGACTTCTACAATACAAATGCAGAATACGGGGTAAGATCTTGAGCCGTTGTGCTGAAGCTTGCTGATTTGGGATACCAAGCTTGATACAGTCTCACAGAATTACTGCTCTCGGGAGATGTGCTGCATGGCACCAGCCAAGCCCGCACCACGAAGCGCCATCATGCTTGTTGACATATGTCTGCCACAGGTCCCTCCACTCCCGCCACGACGGATCAGCAACGACTGGCTGTCCATTTACAATGAATTCGATTCTTTCGCCCTTCACGCTTCCTGGTGCAACAGACCTGCCATGCTTCAAAGCCTCGTTTTTCAGGAATCTTCTCTCGTCTGCCAATATCACTGCCGAATGGTATTCCTCTCGGACGCCAACGTTGTCTCCCGGCTTCGTCTCATCAAATACCATTTCTGCTGCCCCGTCTCATTCCGAACTTTCAATGTCGCCGCGCTGGAAGCAAACGTCCTCTGACGCCCATTCTGGGTTGTGCACCTGATATTTACAAATCAGTTCGCGGTTGATGAGAAGAAAAGTGGCTCGGAAACTGGTGTCACCTGAGCGTAGTAGATCACGCCGCTTGCCAGGCAACATGGCAGTACGAGGTGGCCATGACGGAGCCAACTTGAACGGAACTCAGCGGCAAAAGTGCCGCGTTTGCGAGCGAGGAGGAACTGCCTGGTGAACCTCGGTGCCATGATGGCGAGGATTGCAAAATATAAAACTTTGCGAGCGGTTTCGATGAAGGTATGCTTGATGCCTGCGGCTGAATGTTAATGATTTGTAAGCTGACGATCGTGCTCTTTCCGACGAATACCAATTCAGACGACAGAGTCTAGATGCATAATCTGTTGTTCGGATGCTTGATCGGCATGTAACGGTCTGAGTACCTCTTGAAGCACCCACAGATGCCAGCCAGTACATCCTCGCTTATCTGGCCGTCGTTTTCAAGCATACCCACGGCTTCTTCACCAATCTGCATCACATCGTCAACAATTCGTCGCTGGGTTTCGAGCTCAATGACGCCTTCTGGAGATCCGAAATCTGGATCCAGATCAATGGTAACGCGGTAGCCACCGATCAGTGACTGCAACATCCGCTGCTTTTCGAGATCGATCATGGCTTTCCATTCATTGCCTCGCTTGTTCAGCAGTAGGATGCCCTCGTATCGAAATTCGCATGTGGTACGGACTGCTGGCGGCTGAAAGTAGTATGGTGCAGTGCGCAAAGCTAGTCGAGTCATCCAGAACATGGTATCGGCTGTCAGTCTGGACGTCTCTGGACCGGCGTTCATCACGAAAGCATTCTTGGCCCAGAAGATGCGAGAAACATCGACGCGAATGATTCTGCAGACTCGACTGAGCCGCTTGTAGGTTCGCCAGGCTCTCGGCTTCGGCTTGCTTGATACAGGACCTAGGTATATGAGCTTCTTGGTCTCAAGCGGCAGATACGAGTAGGTGTGGTCGCGCAGCTCTTGTGGCAGGCCTAGAAACGTGGCCGCTGGTGGGAGTGCGAAGTCTCGCATGCGCAAGCCTCTTCTCGTCGGCGATGATCTGGACATGGTCTTCAGCTACCTGTCAGCTTCAAGTTCGGGACAACAATGAGAGATGGCAGAGCGCCGGGAATCAGGATTACTGAAAAGAGATCGCGTCGATCGATTTGAGTCCACAAAACCGGTCAGAGGCGTATGTGTCGCTTGTAAACGGCAAATTGTGGAACTTGCAGATCTGCCTGGAGTTTGATGTCTCGCTGCCATTCACTTGCTCCAGCCTCAGAGGCTGCGACTTGGGGACCAAACTGGGTGGCCTTAACAATCCAGGCGAAGTGAAGTGTCGGGACAACGACAGCTTGGTCAAGGCTCGACAGTGGTGCCAAGATTCACATGTCGAGTCTGCGGACGTCACACGGGTGGAGCGCAAGGCAACCGCTGCAGACTACACAATCCCTTTGTGATCTTTCGCTCTTTCTTCGACGAAATGCGAGACGGTTGATGGCTCTGAAAGCTTTCAATATATTTACTCGACGCGACACATGAGTCTTCAGCGTATCAAAGAATCTAGACACTCGAGCCGTGAAGGAGTACGAAAACCAGCGACCATGAACAAATACGAACATCCAAAAGCTCTCAGAAGCGACCTAAGCCTGGACGACGCCATCATCAATGCTCGTGATGCTGGCACAGAGTGGCAATACCTCTTCATCGGTGCCCAGCTGGAAGAGCCTCTATGGCTGCCCGCAGATGACCCGCAAATTCGACCAGAACTTCTTGCCACGTTTTGGAACGATTCTGAAGTCAGAATGCACTTCGGCTTTCCGATTGACGAGCATGTGTCAACAGAACACGTTGACGAGGAACCGGCGGACTGTCCGCCTGAGGTCGAGCGAGCACGACATGATGAGATGCTTATGACCATGGGTGCTCTCGCTGAGAATTTGCCTGAGAAGGAGTCATTGGAGCCGACGACGAACGAGCAGAAGTTGCCGGCGACGACAGCTCAACCCATGTCATTCACCCTCGCTGTGAGACCAAAGCCGCAGTCTGGTAGCAGAAAGCAGTGAAATGCTCATGGTGATGGAGTGTTGGATGCGCTACATATTCGCTCATTTCTATGGGATTGCAATCGAGTGTGGATCGATACCAAACGCTCAGTTCACGTAAGTTCGTCTTGCCATCATCACAGATACTGGCACAGTATTGATACCTCTCTTACGCCCCAGGAAATCTCCCGATATTGGGACGTTGCGCTGTAACGACTCTCCACCATTTTGCTGGCAAGGGTCCTTTATTTTTTTTCAGGGTCACCATCACTGGCTTTGTTCATATTCTCACATTTGGTGCTGGTGAAGCGACCAGGCAGCAGCATCGCGACCTCCATATATTTTCTTGCATCGCTCTACAAGTCTCTCGCTCCTCACAACTGCGCGATTCATTGCTGGAATCCAGGTCGAAACTCGAAGGGCCAAAAGATCATGGAGCGCGGCGCTCAGATGTCAGACTACGGTCTCCCCTATCGGAAGATGCACGAAGACGCCTCCTCTCAACGACTTCCTGAAAGCTCCGGCAACCTTCTCAAGCCAGTCAGCAGTGTCGACGAAGACGGTATCGACATGAATGTGTCGAAGCACATCTCGACCTTCCCTTCTATGAGCGAACTCAAAGCAGCTCTACCAAAAGTCCAGCCGGAGACTGAAGACGACACACGCATGCTCGAAGCACCAGCAGAAAGTTGTCCGCACGGCCGTTCTCAGCTCTGCAATGGCTGCTCTGCTCGCAACTCCTGCAGCGAATGTCACGCTCCGATCCTCGCATCTCTTGCTCCAAACGTGACTTCCATGATGCGCAACGGAGTCCACTTCGACATCTGCTCGGAATGTGTCACAAGCTGCCTCGCCTATCCCGAAGAAGCACATGAGTGTGGCTGTGAAGGCATGTTCAAGACTCTATGTGTGATGTGCCTACCAGTCGCCATCCAGGCGTTGATTCAGAGTCGAAGCGAAGGTGTGCAGAGGACGGAAGCCGGACGCCTTTGTGCCGAGTGCAATTGTGAGCTCCAAGGAAATCACGGCGGTGCCAGTCAGTGCGAAATGTGTTCGGGTTTGAAGGCGAAGGCTACATAAAAGGATTGCGAAGCGTATGAGCCTTCCTGACTTCGACTCTCTAATGCCATTGAGATCGACAGTCGTAATGCGTACAGAGGGAAATTCAGCTGCAAGACCATATACTCTTATCAATGAGACGAGGCCGTTCAATGCGGCTCGCATTGTAAGTCCTCCGTCACTTTTGATGATCACAATGATACCAATACGTTTGGTGAAACACTTCGAGAACTGATTGTTCTTTAGAAGAAAGTTTGACGTTTCCAGAACCACCTCGCCCCAGGAACGCTGATAGGCAGCGCATCAACCAGGGGATGCTCCGTTTGCTGGAAGATAGAGCAGGCTTTGTTCTTCCAAAGTCTGCCAGGTTTGGGCGAGAGTCGTTTGCTCACTCAAGTCGATAGAGCTGAGGCCAAAGCTTCCACACCAGTGGCCATAAGTATCATCACGATCGCGCATCACTGGGCATTGACACCAAGAAATCCAACATCATGTCGCAAGCATATCAATGCCGGATCCAGTGGGAAGTACCTGATGAGCTTGAAACATTCCATCCTGACTGGCCCACAACAAATTGGTCCTTGGAGTCAGACATCACCCTCAAGCAACTTCTCGAAAAGCTGAAGCAAGAAATCTCGCAGAAGCTGGAAAGATGCGACGAGTTCTCCAAAAAGGGAATTTCCAACTTCATGACCCAACTCACCGAGCAAATCAACAAAGGAAAGGACTCTTCAGCACAGGCTGCGAAATCCACTTTCTGGCTCATCCGCTTCCGCACGACCCTCAACGACAAGCACAATCTCGATTCTGGAATCTGGCTTCGATTTTCCAAACTCTCCGACATCATCCGCACACCATGCCAAGTCGGTGTGCGCGTCCAGCTCGAGCTCGAAGAATGCCAACGCGGTCTATCTCCCATCAGACCCTTGCTAGCCAGCGCACGGTCATTGGTTTATTTATAAACCCCTTGCGCAGCAAGGGTCTGAACACAAAAGGTCACTTTCGGACAGCTGGAATTTCCAACTCAGCGCGCAACGCGAAATACATAAATCTTATAGGTGTATGTTGTAGCGCGTGCAATTCTAAGCTCAAATAATCAAGAATGAAATGTATACGACGTTGTAGCGTTGAGATATTATAGATATAATATAGCGGGTTACCTAGTAGCTAGCCGGCTAGGCTGCAGTATAGTAAATAGCTAAGAACACATATTTTGCGACTTAACGCAAACAATACGACGATACTTAGAGGTTATAGAGCGTACAATTTCGAGTGTATATTAATAGTATTCGCCTATATAACGTTGTATTACGTTATTATAACTAAAAAGTAGAGGACATTTAGCTTCTAGCTAGCCTACCTAAAATAGCTAAATTTCGACTATCGCGAACAAACAAGCTAATACCTAGAGCTTCTTACGCGTACAATTTTATAAAGATCCCCGTCTAGTAGATATCTATATAACGTAGTAGTATTAAGTAGCAATCTATAAGCAGAGGTTATTAATAGGACTAAGCAGATCGCTGCTAAACTATTAGTATAAGGCCGAAGTGCTGTACTGTAAAGCGTATAGGAATTCGATGTAGCGTCGATAAATACTATAATAGTAAAGCGGTATAGCAAGTAACATAATGTCTCGTATATATTCCTATAGCTTCTCGTCCGTATATTATTATATACAACGCGGCTCGCGCGTGCGCTCGTTTATCTATATTTCTGTCCTTCGCTCTAATCCCTAAGACCTCTAAAACCTATACTACGCATCTATAGCATTGCATCTACCTCTAACTACCGCCGCCGCTATGTCTAGTAATAATATCGATATAGAGCGCGGCTCCGATACTTTAATAGATTTAAACCTACTACTAACAACCTTCGCCTTTACAGATTAAGGCCTCCGTCCTAGGCTACTCGATAACTTTACTAGCGAGCTTAGCTCTATATTGCCTGTCTCCGAAGCCGATCGTTGTAAGGCTAAGGCCGATCGAGAGGCGCGCCGCCTTTAAGCTCGCCGCAGACCGGCTATTATCGAGGCTACTTTAGAAGTAGAAGATTAAGATAAAGACGACCTTAAAAGTAAGGCCTTTAAACAGTCGATAGAGCTTAGCGAGGATAAGGTCGAGGAAGAGCGGAATGCCGAAGAAGCTACTAACTTTAACTAAGACGACGAAGAAGTAGAGGGTAGCGATAAAGATAAAGATAAAGATAACACTATCGATACCTAACTAGGCTATAGCAGGAAGCGTAGCAAAGCGCTAGCTGCTATAGCTAATAAGAAGAAGGATAGAGAGAGGCGGGCGTAGAAGGAAGCCCTTACCGATAAGACCGATAATAAGAAGTTTTCCGATATAATAGACAAGATTAATACAGAGCATATCGCCGTTACCTAGTTCCTACAGATATAGGTTAGAGAGAAGGGCAGCAAGACATACCGGCGCCGTATTAGCTATATACTAAATACCTTTATAGAAGAGGGCCTAGTTAGTACGCGGGTACTGCGCTCTAAGTTTAAGAAGCTAGTTAGTAAGAAGCGCTTCTTTAATAAATACGACCCTACGAAAGCCGTAGAGCTAGACGACCTAATAGAGATAATAGATATTATTAAGACAAGCGCACCGATTTAGTATACTATGCTTAAACGCCTTCTGCCGAATAAGAAGAAGAAGCTAAATATAGATTTCAGCCGACCGGCAATGCAGCAAGAGGAGAATAATAGCGAGTAGGCGGATAATAAAGATAGTAAAAATAATCCTCGCCGCTAGTAGAAGCGGATCTATACCCTTACGCAAGTCGTCGCTCGGTCTATAGCGATAAAGAAGTCTTCCTATTTCGCTAAGGCGCTTAGACTCTTCCTATACACATCCGGTGTCAAGCGCCGAGTTGTTAACGTCCTTAGTAGCCTCGGTATTTGCTTAGGGTATTCGACTATCTAGCTTTTAGCTAGGCAAGTCGCTACTAAGAACCGCAAGCGGGCGATCGCCCTCGCAAAGAAGATAAAGAAGTGTCTAACTGTAATCGTATATAACAATTACTATATATCGGAGTACCGGAAGGCTATATAGTTAATCGGCTAGTTAACGAAGCAGCGGAATATAACGATATCGTATATCGCTAGATATAGTGCTTTAAAGAAGCTACTACTAAGAAGTATGCTCGATCGTTCTAAGAGGCTAAGTCCGAAGGTTATCCTTTGTAGCTATAAGAAGGACGCGGCCCGCAAGGCGACATCTCTATACTATATCGACTAGGCATTAGGCTTTGTCTTTCTAGTATTAAAGGCGGTATTTAAGGACTTCGATTTCGATAGTTACCGACTAACTAAGGATAGCGGTACTCTAGTTTCCCGTTTGCTATAGTGCAAGCTTCGCATTAAGAACGTTAAGGATAGTAAGACGATTATTATCTTATTGCCGGTTTCTAATTATAACGAGGCCTCGATCGAGGAGATATACGAGGTATATAACGATATCTTTCTAAACTTTCTAAGGCTAGATCCGGATAAGGACGAGTTCTAGGACTAGCTTATCCTTGTAATCGGCGACTAGTTAACGGTAGAACGTATTCGGAGCGTCTAGGCCGGCAGTATTAAAAGTACTCGAGCTTATAATAAGAAGGACTACATCGTCGCAGTACTAGCTATATTCTATATCGAGATAAACGCCTGCTATATCTCGATAAAGACCTACTACCTACGAAACGATAACGGCAAGAGCAAGAAGCTAGCTTATAACTACTAGGATAACGCTAGATACTTTAGCATTACGCGCCTTAACAACGAGAAGCTATAGTACTACATTGCTAAGCAAGTAGTATATCGCTCGTTCCGATCGCGAGTATCGGCTCTCTTTATTCGTTTAATAATCGGTCGCAAGCTCTTAGACTTTAATAACAAGGCCGTCGCCGGAATAAGTCGTATCGCTACTATGCGGTATACTATCGAGCAGATAGCTTCTTAGCAGTATCTCGAGATCGTTAAGGAAATCTATTAGATAGCGTTTACGTAGGCTACGTAGTACGGAAAGGACGAGAACGGACGTATACTAGATCTAGATTTCACTACTATATGCCGTATACTCTAGGAGATCGACAATTATCTAACTATCTATAAGTCTATTCGCAAGATAGACATCGGACATCTACGGCGTATAATCGATATCCTTATACTAAACTTTTTCGGCGCTCGATAGCTTAACTATAGCCGAGAGATAGTATACCTACGGTAGTTGCTAAGTACGTCGCATCTAGATCTTTAAGATACTATCCTCGAGTCTATAGTTGTCGAAATAGAGAGTAGTAGGGGTATAGCGGCCGATAAACTGCTCGAGTTGTATAATAAGGAGTATACCGATAATATCCGAGCCTATAGCAATTCTACTTATAATATCGCTACTACTATAGAGCTTATCTCGCAAAACCGTAAAGCCTCGAAGAACATTCGTAATATGTTCGAGAACCTTAGTCTAAAGAGTACTAGCTACTATACTAAGAAGAAGATCGGCGACTACGTCTATACCTATATACTAAAGCTAGTCGAAGAAGGTCTAGTAGAAGTTTATAAGGTTAAAGGCGATAATATACGAGCTATATCTAACGATATCTAGAAGCTTAGAGCACTACAGATTGTCGATGCTATTAACGTACTATACTAGGCTAATCTTCGTCTCGTAAAGGGTGTAACCCGTACCTCTACGGACACTGCTAGTAATAGTATCGATGCAATCGATAGCGCTAATACTCGTAAACGCATTAACGGAGGAGCTAAGCGTAGACCTATTAGTGCTAGGGTAGTAGACAACGATACTACCTTTATATACGAGCATTTCGTAGATCCTAAGGGCTATACGTATATAGACCTCGAGTTAGCTAACCTAACCGGCGTATAATTGTAGCTATCGGAAACTCTCTTCTTTACGTAGTAATATTAAATCAGATCGACCTCTTGTCTAAGTACTAACCTAACGCTTATAGTATCGTCGTCCTATAGTAGCTCTAGATTGATAGCCTTAGGTACTTAGTTAATAAGCTCGCTCTTGCCTTAAAGGTGCGGTAGTGTATAGCCGTTATTGTTGCCTTGCTATTGTCGCAATAGATAGCGCAATCCTATTAGTAGAGGCCGACCTTACCTGCGAGGCGTATATAGATATCCGCTTTCTAACCTCAACTTCTTCTTCTTCTTCTTCTTCTTCTATATATATACACACTAACACACTAACACCCCTAGCAACATACTAGCTATCGGCTCTTAATAGCAATAGTGTCGATACCTCTTTGTCGTATATAGGTGGCTCTATAGCGATTAATACTATTCCTTACTAGTTCTGCGGCTTGCTACCGATAGAGCCGCTTATCTAATAGTTGAGGTTCCTCGGTAGGTAGTTTGTTTAGTCCTTTTAGTCTCCGATAGGCTTTGTCGACGTAAGACGTTGCGAAGGCGACTCTTCTAGCGAGTAGGTTGTTTTCTATAGCTTTAGCGGGCGTCGACTACGCATTTAACCGAAAGAGTATAGTTTTTGTTAGAACATCGTAGTCTTAGTGCAAACTGTAGAGGTCTTAGATAGATACAGCTTATCTGACGGTAGCTAACGGTAAAAACTCTTTAGTAAGGTATACCGAAAGTGGCTAAGGTAGCGCCTTCCTACTAAGTAGATAGGTTCGTAGCATTACTATAGGTCTAACTCGGTAAAAACTCTTTAGTAAGGTACACCTTAAGTAGCAGCTACAGGCTTCCTACGTTCGGATTCTTTATAGGATAATATACGCGCATCTAGTTAAGTCGGCGTAACGCCTTCGTTAGGACTGTTAGTTATAATAACCTTAGTCGTTACGTAAGGGCCTCTAGTATACTTAAGCCCGAAGGCGCTTAGTCTTAGTCTTTACTACTATACGACTATAGCCCTTTACGTATTAAGACTGCTATTCGACTATAGTGCGTAGCGAACCGAACCGAGCGTATTAAGACTGTTATCCGACTGCAGTACGTAGCGAACCGAACCGAGCGTATTAAGACTATTATCCGACTATAGTGCGCCTCCTCTTCTAGTAAGCGCATTACTATTGCTATACGACTGCAACGCGCTCGACAACCTTTTTCCGCGGTGTCTCTAATACTAAGGGCGCGGTTATATACTATTGTTGTCTAGGAACTAATATATGTCGCTTTAGCAATCGCTGTCGTGTTTCGCTTAATAAGTCCCTTCCTATACACCTTATCCCTTTAAAAGGTTATGCGTGCTGTAGTTAGTAATAGAATACGTTAATTGTTACGCATTGTGCGTAGTATATAGGCTATATATAATTCTAGTATGCTTCGGAGTGTATGCTTCTATAGCCGCTTAGTGCCGCTAGTTAATTAGATCCCCGGACGCTACTGTTCGTTTTCTCTGCCTTAATAGTAACTAGTTATCGGAATGATCGTTCTAGGGAGAGTCTAAGTAATAGAGGGCGTTAACGTAAGAGGGCTATCGTAGCTTCTCGAAGAGTGCTTACGCTCGATATATGTTATCGCCCTACGTATCTATCCTTACTATATATATTATAGTGCCTATAAGAGCATGCGGTACAATAAGTATAGTGCTAGTCTCGCTAGTCTCGCTAGTCTCGCTAGTCTCGCTAGTCTCGCTAGTCTCGCTAGTCTCGCTAGTCTCGCTAGTCTCGCTAGTCTCGCTAGTCTCGCTAGTCTCGCTAGTAACTTCTCGGGTTTCGGAGGCGGTTCTTAGTGCCTAAGGCGGCCGTCGTTATCGTGTTAGACACTTTTGTTAGCGCTATTTACTAGAAACGCGCTAAATCGACGTATCTCGATATATTAGTAATACTATTATAAAAGTCGTAAAAGTCGGTATTGTAAATGCGCGGAAGGAAGTAGCTATAACGTTTAATCCTACCAATTAAGCGCTCTACTATACTAAATCCGGGGTCTTAGCGGGACTCGGTATCCTTGTCGCTTCCTCGAATTTACGCTTCTCGACTAGCTTCTATATGCGAATTTTACGACTATTAACTATCGGCTATTATATAAGACAGACTACGAGGCGCGTTAACAGCTAAGGCAATATGCTCGACTACGAGGGCAAATATATATAGCGAGCTTACAAGGATATAATAGAAGGATAGTAAGGACGGACCTTATTAAATGCTATTTCTAGCGCTATTTCTAGCGCTATTTCTAGCGCTATTTCTAGCGCCATTTCCAGCGCTATTTCTAGCGCTATTTCTAGCGCCATTTCTAGCGCTATTTCTAGCGCCATTTCTAGCGCCATTTCTAGCGCTATTTCTAGCGCTATTAAATCGCATATAACGCTATAGCAATCGACTATGCCTATATAGTACTACTACGCCTAAAGAGTAACAAGTTATCCTTATTATCTCCCTCCTACTAGCTAGCCTTACGCCTACGCTCCTTTTCCCTTACGGAGGGCTTAGGAGTACGGCTTAATCGACGAGAGCTAGCTAGACTAGATATTCTAGCGGCTTTACGCTAAAGTCGTACGGCTATATTATAGTCTATATCCTCTTAGGCAGTACGACGACTACGAGCAGTTCGGTTATTTACTATAGCCGTCTTCTATAAGATCTTTTACGAGATCTTAGCCGAGCTCTGCGAGGTTTGTTCGATACGAGCGAGGCGCTATACCTAAGTTAATCGAGAGGGACCTTCGACCGTAGGATTAGTAGCAGCAATAGTAGCAGCAATAGTAGCAGCATTAGCGGCTGCTTTAGCGCGCTTCTAAGTCTCCTCTCTCTCTGCATTATCCTTCGCTTTCTATACGAGCTAGGCCTCGCGCTTTGCAAGCACCTACTAAGCAATACTAGTAATATACTCTAACAGATCCTCGATTAGTATATCTCGCTAATGCTCCTTACTCTTACGGAGCTATGCTATAAATACTAGCGCGCGTTCTTTAAGCATCGTCTTATTAGCTAAGAAGGTGTTCTAGACTAACGATAAATCCTCTCGAAAGTACTTTGTATTAAATACCTCGCTTAAGTCCTAAAGTATATTATCTAGAACGATAAAATTGGACGGTACGACTTCGAAGCGGCGGTTCTCGTATAGATTATTAAATGCATCGTCGATACGAGCGGAGACCTAGCTAGACAGAAATTCCAATCTAAACCGCTATAGACTATTCTTTAGTAGTACCTTAATCTTCTTCGGTAGTAGCGGAGGATCCTTCTAGGAAACTAGCTCTAAGAGAGCTAGATTATATATACTATAGCAGTCGTCGGTACCTACGACCTCTCGCTCTAGATCGAATAGCCGCTCGTGTTCCTTATAGAAGTCGAGGACGATAGCGCGAAAGCAGCGACGCTATACTAGAACTAGATAGTACCGAAGGTTCTAGATATAGCGCCAAATATTATCTAGATTGTCGCGCGAGGCTCGCTCCTTTGCAGTCTACTCGCCGCCTAATTTAGGCTTTAGTACGTTTGCTCGACTGCCGTATTAAATTTGTCCTTAATAAAGGAGCTAATACTAAGGCGGGCAGTACTAGATTCCGCTACGGCGACGTCGTCTTTAGCCTCTTTATTACCTTTAGCATTATCTATACCGAATTAGTCGAAGAGACTATCGGCAGTCTTATTATCCTAGTCTTCTCTAGGAATAGTAACGTATCGGAGACCGCTTAGTCGCACTAGGACAACATCTTTCGCTTAGTATACTACTACGGGCTGTCCGGTGTCTCGTAGAATTATAGAGCGGTAGGAGGACTTCTCTAGAATACGCTTAGATACATCGTCGACCTAGTACGGTAGGAAGACGATAGCGAGGGCGGTTATCCTACGAATGCGAGCTATACGTCTAAGCTTCTATATTAGATTATCGAGATCTCTCGTAATCGGAAACTTATACTAGTAGACAATCTCGATATCCGGTATATTAACGCTAGTCGCCGTTATAGGTATACTAAAGAGGATACGGATCCGAGAGTCTAGCTTCTTAAACTCTAGGTAACGCTTATCCTTATCGAACTTAGCGACTTTAGCTATATAGAATTAGACGATATTATAGACATCGATTATACGAGGAGCGCTAGGCTATATAGGCTTACTATCCTATATATACTTGCCTACGCTATTTGCTAGATCGACAACGTCCTTAGTTAACTCTATTAGCTACATATATATACGTAGTCGGGCGTTATCGATCGACTTGCGACTATCGATAAAGATTATCGATTTCTAGATCTTCCTTAGGGTAGCGAGGCTAGTCTCTTTATCTACTGCGTACCGGAGTACAAAGTAGAGGCAGTCGAATTCCTTATCGTTCTATAGGAGAGTCTTTAAGATATACTTAGTATCTAGACGGTCGATACTATCGCGAATAACGATAGCGTATATACTAGCCTCGCTCTCCTTTCGTAGGCTATTCGCGAAAAGATACTTCTTAGTCTTATCCGAGACAGTAGCAGAGTAGACTAGCAGTACAGTATTAATGCTTATTAGCTAGCGTAATAGATAAAGGACAGTATAGCTATTACGGAAATCCTTCTACTTTAAGTAAAGATAAGCTTCGTCCTATACCTATAATCTAAGTATTAGGCTAATAGTACGGATTACATCCTAGAACTTAGCTATAATTGCCTGTTCGGGGCTGCAGATAATATAGTTGTATTTGCCGTTCTTAATATCCTTTAGTAGGTCTAGATCCTTTTGTCTAGTCTCGGCGGTTATAACGGCTACCTTTACGAGTGCATATTCTTCTAGAGATAGCTGCCGTACAGCTTCCTTAATATCTAAGCCCTGTTCTTCTATAATGCGCGTTAAAGGCACAATCTATAGTATTATTATACTAGTTAAGAGAGTAAACGCCTAGAAGACTAGTGCCTTACTAGCGCTAGTACGAGCGATTATAAGAATATCCTAGCTACCGAAGATAAGGGCGAAGACGATAAGGACCTAAAGCTCGGTTAGTTCGGCGGCTCGAGTCGGATAAAGCAGCTTAAGGATCTTCTTAAGGCTATTTCGAACGATCTGCTTCTAATATAGTAGAGCACTACTATACTAGCCGGCATTCTAGATAAGTTACTACACTTGCTAGAGTAGCCGGCTTTATTCCTCGATATCTGCGTATACTATATTAAAGTACGTATCCTACTCCTATACTAGCGTATCGATCGTAGGTAGCGCTAGGTTAGGCTCGTACGACTAGGTAGACTCTTCGCGGTTAATTAGAGTCCGGTCTAGTACTAGCGCGCGAGGCTAGAACGTCTATTACGCCGCCGTAGTATTAGAACTAGCGTTTCTATTATTATTTCTATTATCGCCTTAAGTATTCGAAGGACTAGTAGCGATAGCAACTCTACGATATCCTCCGCGGCTACTGCCTCGAGCCCTACTACCGCGGCTACTACGATTACTACGAGGCGGACGGCCTCGACGACTACCGCGCCCGCTAGCGGCTTGTTATGCATTGCGCTGCTTAGCTAAGAGGCGATCTATAGTTGCGAGTACGCCTTCGCGGTCGGGGAGTAGCTTACTAAGGGCTTTAAGAGTACTAAAAGAGTGTTTAAGAGGTTTCTAGGGATATACGCTAGAAGTGGGTTACGGTTTATACGCGTTTGTATAGATAGTCCGCGCTTCGGTCTACTAGGTAATAGAGCAGGTAAAGGCGGCGGAATTTTTATATAAAGAATACTTAGAGGTAATAGAGGAGGTCTTTCTTAATAGAACTGTCGCTTTAGAAGTAGAACAACGGGTAGTAGGTAGTCGATTTAATAGGTTGTTAGTAGGACAAACGAACGCTATCCTATACTTTCTATACCTTAGATTTTCTATAGGTCTTAGTTGTAGGAATTATTCTATTATAAAAATCGGATGTTCTAGACTTATTATAAACCTATAACTAAGGATAAACATACTCTATACAAATATAGCTAGTTGTTGCAGTAGAAATTACTAACTTATATTAAGGGTATCCGAAAGTGACCTTTCTAGTTTAGGCGCTTCGCTAGAGCTTAGCTTGCCTAAGGCATAAATATATATATAGAATGCACGTACACAACCTAGAAATACCGCTCGTGTCTATAGTAGCTACTACGAATCAGTCTAAATCCGGAAGTGCAGCTAAGGACCGGACTCGGTATAGATTTGCTATCGCTCCGTCCGCCTTAGTTATAAACGCGTTCTTAGTTATTTTCCTTGTTTATCCATCTCGCTGTCGCCTGTTTTTATCGACCTTGCTATCGCCGCTATCGATTTAGGATCCGCTGCTCTTGCTTTCTATTAAAATAGCTAACCTTATAAGCATTAATGCCCTTACCGCTCTTTAGGAGTTTAATGCTACGTATACTATACCGCCGCTACTACTACTACTACTACTACTACTACTACTACCGCCGGCGGAATTTACGCGTCTTCTGCCGTAGGCGATAGCGCGCGTCGAAGTAGACGAGTTATTAGACGAAGAGCAGTCCGCGGATAAGGAGAATAGCGGCGAGGCGCCTCGTAGGCGTAGATCTACGTATAGAAGGCGTATCGAAGTTATTTAAGGTATCTACGCTATACTCGACGCGCCTAACGACCTCCTACGCTAGCGCTAAGCGATAATTAAATTACCTACCGAGCTAATATTTACGATCGACGCGTAGCGCTAATTAATGCCGTATTAGTCTAACTTTTAGTATCGTAAGGATAGTCGGCGCGAGCTATCGACGGAGTTATTAGTAGAGTTTTAGACGTATCGGAATAGTAGCGGAAAGCAGCGTACGACAAAGGGGTATAGTAAGAAGCCGGTACCGAAGAAGATTACGAAGGCGCGTAGTTGTTAGGTAACGATAAAGGTAGTGTTTGTCGAGCAAGTTAGAGAGCGAGGGGACCTAGAAGTTATTAGTATTAAGGTGCGCCGCAATAACGCCGCTTAGTATACTAATTACTATACTATGCGGCGATTTAACCTATAGAAGCGATGCGACGCTTTAATAAAGGCGGTTAGACTATAGGTATATAAAGGATACAAACTAAGCGTAGTATATAATACTATTACCGTACGATACGACCCTAGAGCCCGCGAAGTCTTCCTCGCCGCCGGCGGCGCGTATTTAACTAGGAAATGTTGCAATAACGCTAGTAAGGCTTTCTGCGAGGTATATCGAGATACGAGGCTTAGTAGACAGGTTAGTATATAGCAGGACTAGCAAGAAGAGCTGTTATTATAGCTAAGAGAAAGTAAGTCGATAGGATAAAGTAGATAAGATAAGGTTAGAATTAGCATTGCGGGCCGCTCGGTTACGCTCGCCGTATTCCGAGCAGCTAATTAGATCTACGGATTCTTTCTCGAATTCGTCTCGAATTCGAGAGCTATCTAGGCGACTAAATTCTTTAGGTCTCCGCTATTCGGTTAGCAAAAAAACTAAAGCTCGGAGTTCCTAGAATTCTCGGATAAAGCCGCTTACCCCGTATAATTATTAAATTAGCTAATTAATTCTAATAATCCGAGGCGGGCCGGGCTTCTAGCGCGGCTTAGCGAGGAACACCGAACCTCCGACTTGTTTACATTTTAGAAACTAAAACAAAACAGCTAATTCTTCTTTTCTAGACAACTTCTACGCCGCTAACGTATTAGCAATACGCGCCGTCGACAAGAAGCGAACATATGCGACAGTTTAGGTCTATAAAGACCGACTCGCGCTACTCGTATAGCGTAGATAGCTCTTACTAATAGACGCGACTTACAAAACTAACTACCTTAGCTAGTTCTTATATACTATAATAGTACGCGACGAGAACGGCCTCTAGCGACCTATTACGCACTTTCTAAGTGTTACTAATAATAGCGATATCGTATTAGCGTACCTTAAACAGATTATCCGATAGTCTAGCGGCCGCCGTAGTTATAGACTACGATTCTTCCTTACTAACGACTTAGTAGCCGAGAGACGCGCTATTCGATTAATATAGCCTCTAGTATTGCCGGCGGACGAGAACACCGCGGAAACAGCTATAGAAGCTACTAAAATCGAGGACTCCGAGTCCGACGACGATAACTTCGAACCTCTGTATTAAACCGACTATCTCCTCTGCTATGTTTACCTCCTACGATCTATTAAGCGCTACTTTAGCGGTAAATTAGCTAAGAAGGCACGCTATTACCTCTATTCCGCTATCAAATTTAGGCGCTCCGTCGCTAGTTATATAGACAGCCTATAAAGCGCTATTCTAAGCCTTCTAAAGGACTATAAGTTTAACGAGAGGTTAGAATACATTACGAAGGAGCTAAAGGATAACATTCGCTACTAGGCGCTCTATTATCGTATAGACTCTGCTATTCTTATATAGGTAAAGGACACTAATGCCCTCGAAGGTTGTTATAACAAATATAAGTACGAGAACAAGGCGCAAATAGCTAGCGAATACACCCTCTATAGTACGGCAATGTACGTAGAGGTAAAGGACTGCGAATACGACTAACGCTTACTTAATTATGCTAAGAGTAAGGATAGCAAACTTTACCCTCTCGCTACTAGCGATAACGAGCTATTAAAGCGTTAGTTGCTAGAGTTTCTATAACGGTTACAACAGCTAATTAGTAAGCAATACTAGAAGGGCACTTAACCTAACTTTATCGCGGCGCGCTTACTTAGTAACGAGATAACGTGCGAGTATAGATTCTATCTACAATACTAAGTCGCCTACGCTAATCTATAGTACTACTATTTCTAACTTAGTTAGAATATAATCTAAGACTACGACTTTTAGCGCTAGCTATTTATGTTTAAAGACGCTAAATACGATAACAGCGGCGGCTTCTTAATCTATAACCGAGTAACGACTTCCTACGCTATTAAAGAGCTCTACGACGATATTAGTATACCGAGCGTACCTAACTTCTTATACCGCGAGCGCGTACGCGAGTATAGCGACGACATCCGCCGCTAGATATATGCTATTAAACAGCGCTACGCCGACAACTAGGTGCTATTTAAAGACCGATAACGAGACTAGAAGCGCTTTATTAAGCGACTTAACGATATAAGTAGACCTTAACGCACTAAAGCTGCGCGCCTTGCTATAGAAGATTACTTCGGCCTCGAATTGCTACTAAATACGCCTCCTTCGTAACTATCGTAATAGCCGCTACCTACCGGGGTACTATTAAGTTAATACTACGTTAATCTTAGCTAAATCGCTAGTCTATCGACTAAGAAGTCCCGTAAAAGTAAGAGTAAGGCGACGGTTAAAAAGGAGGAGTTATATAGTAAGGTTCGCGAGGTAGGTATAGAAGAGGCGACGGCGGAGGTAACAGATACCTTAGCGACTACCTTAAGAGCGCTAGCGGCCTTAGAGATCGAGTCTGCTATACTAGCTACTATATAACCGGCGATGCCGGAGGCGTAGGTCGCTCTATAGCGTAATCCGTACGAGCCTCCGCTCTCTACGTAGGCAGGCGCGGTAATAGGTCTACTTCTACGGCCTTTATAATCTATCTCCTTTAATATAACTACCTCTTACGACTTTGCCTCTACCTCTACCTTAGGCAAGCGGAAGGCGCCGGCGACGGTAAGGTCTAGTAAGAAGCGTAAATAAGTCTACATATCTATCTACTATAATATAAACTAACAATACCTAACTTTAGTCTATATCGCTATTTCTACGCTATCTCTTTAGCTTCATTTTTAGCGACGGTAAGGTCTAATACTACCTCTACCCTGCGCGACGCGACAACATCACGTAGATCACGGTTTTGCTAGGGGTTAGCAGTAGAAACGGATTCTCAGCATGCGCCGACCTCCGATCCGGTAGAAGCCGCAGTGGCTACTATAGACGTATCCGAAATACCGAGGGCAGTCACACTAAGCGGAAATCACGAAGCAGCCTGAAAAGGAGGTAGAACGCGGTAATGCGTACCACCAAGACACCTCTCTGCACAACCACATCTACACTCGCCGACCAAGATCCACCCATTTCTTCATCGGCACCGTTCAAAACCAAGAAGCCCAGAAACGAGACATCCAACTCCTCGAGACTGCCGACAAGGCGAAACCCATCGAACGCAAAAACGTCATCCTCGCCCGATTCGAAGAGACGAATGGGTTTCGCATGCTCGGAACTTTTCGAATGCTGAATACTTGGCGGTTCGTGACGGCTGATGGGAAATCTTACTTCACAAGGATCGGAGATGTTGAAGGGGGGATCGCATGTGATCTCGCGTTTCTGGAGAGAAATAAGGTCAAGCTTTCCAAAGGATATCAGGAGAATGGCAGCAATGTAGATCTGGGAGAGCTGCGGAGACGTGTTGGGAAACGGTTGGGAGAGTTGCGGAAAGACAAGAAGAAATGGGACGGTGCGGAGAGGGAAGTGCCCAAATTGCCACCGTTGACTTTGCAGCATTTTCCTGCCGCACAGCTCCACGACGCGAGCAATGTGTTGAAAGATGGGGTCAAGGGATTGGCGGTGGTGCGTGTGGTCTATATGTTGCCGGCGGCGGCGCTGGCTGACCATGCCAAACGCTCGCCACAGAACTGCTACTTCGACATTGACAAGACTACGACGTTCGCGGACATGGATGCAGTGCTGCTCAGTGGAAATGCCCCATCCCATCAGCGGATTGAGCGGGGAGTGCGTCATATCAGGCCGACGCGTGTCTGGTGGATCATGGATCCACGAATGGAGGGAGATATTGGTAAGATGTACAGAGTCAACAAGATGAGCACGCAGGTGTGCAGGTACATCAAAGACGCGCCGAGCAGCGATGGGTTTACGTTGTACACTGAGTGCCACATTCGCGAGGCAAACGCTAAACATGAGTACGACGAGGATGGAAAGTGATACGGAGATTGGCAAGCAGATGGTGGAAGGACGACATAGACTTAGCAGAGCAGACAATCCAGAGCATTCTTATCATTCTCTTCGTGCACTCAGCAGCATGGGTCTCCAGCAATCCCGTCGTAAAGTTTCCAACGTCACAGCATCCAGCAACCAGCATCCCAGGAATCAAAAACTCTCGCCATCTCCGTATGTCCATCTACTGACTCCCACTTCCACCAAGCACAATACTCGGATCCACAACTCCCTCCTCAATCAACTGCTTCAAAGTCTTCGTCACAGGCTTCTCAGCAAAACGATAATCACGAGTATGCCCATTCTTCGTACCCTTCTTCGCCATCACACCCTTAGCCAACTTCTCGAGCAAAGTCGCATCAACATTGAAAGCCGGACCCCAACGAGCTCGATTGTCAGCTGCGCGGTCGTCAGACTGCTCGATGGTTTCATCGATGGTGTCTTGCTCATAGGACTCCTTGGGACCGAAGGAGACTTCGCAGTCTTGGGGAACGCGCTCAATGATGTTTTGCAGGATGAACTTCTTGTAGGCGTTTTCGTCTCGCTGTTCTTCGCGCTCGACGATGCAGATGCGAATGTTCTTGAGAGTGGTCATGCTTTGGAGCTGCATCCAGTTGACTCGCTGGTACCAGTTTTGGCCCTGGTTCTCGCTGGGGCGGTGGTCGCAGATGAGAGTGAGGGAGGCGAGGAGTGGCAGGGCCGAGTTTGGCAGCGTATGGATGTCGATGATTGGCTGGAAGCTGGTGGAGATGAGGCCGACGCAGCAGAGATTGTTTTCGCGGTAGAGGATGGACTTGGCTTCGGAATGAATTTGGCGGTTCGTGCTGAGGATTGAGATGTCTGCGCCGCTGGCAATGTCTGTGGAGTCCTCAGGGTGAGTGTGGTTCACGCCATGCCAATCTCGGGTATAGAGACAGATGTAGCCCATCGGTGCCAGATGTTCACGATACACCCAGTTGCGCAATTCCGCTGGCAGATCCAAGAAGCGGAAACCCTGCGACGAGTCTTGAGTGACGACAGTTGATGATCCTGTTGTGGTTTCCGGGACTTCTGGTACTTCGTCTGCTTGATCTGCGGTCTTTGGCTGCTCATCATGCGAAGCTGGCGGAGGCGTGAAATTCTTATCGGCCCACCGAACCCTACCCTGCATAAAGGTGAGAATATTCCGAAGCTCAACCTTGGCATCCTTATTGCCTTCCAGTTCCAAAAGCTGGGAAAGTTCGTCTCGCAGTGGCTCCAAGGTCGAACGGCGGAGGAAGCGGTCCAGAATGTACTCAGCGAGCACTCCGGCTGCTTCTTTGCCCTTGACCTGCTTCATCTTCAGGAATTGGCTCTGCAATTTCTTCTCCAGACTCAAAATCGTCCCGTGATCGCGTGGAACAACGAACTTTTCAGTCTTTGGCGTTCGCCAATCCTCCTTTTCCTCTTCTTCGAAGTTCCCCTTCCACAGTCTAGTCTTGACTGGAGCCAAATTTGCCTTTGGGTCCTTCAGCTTGATTTCGTTTTCGAAAAGCGTATGGATAAGAGCCGCCATTCGTGGCGCAGAGGTTCCAAAGTCGCGAAGTTCAGCGAGAAGTGCTGGGGCCTCTGCTTGGTGGATTGCGAAGACATCGCGCAGCACATTGTCCGCCGCCAGCTCCGCGCGACCGAAGATGGCAGGACGCCCCTTGGCAGAGCGTTTGAGAGCTCGGGTGAGCAAGCTGTCCTGCTCCTGCTCTTCTGGCTCCTCGTTTGCTCGATCCTCCGGCGTTGAGGTGCTCTCTGGTGTAGGAATGGAGCCTTGGTTTGCCCAAAGATTGGCGTCCGTAGGATTTGCTGACTTGCTGAATTTGGAGAACAGCGCTGCACTCGTCTGAAATCGGGAGCCTTTTGGCTCGGACTCGAGCTCCGGAGTGCTGACACGAAGTGGCGAAGCAGACCCAAAGGCAACCGGAAGGCCAAAAGAAGTTGGAAAAGAGGCATTTCGTGCGAAAGGCGAAGCTCCAGTTGCTGGCGCTTTGGATCCGAAGGCGCTAGCATGGCCAAAGGAGAACTGGGATGGCGGCGGTGTTGTGGGAGTTGAGAAACCGCATCCGAAGCTTGACGACGGTCTGAAATGGGCGAAGCCATTTGCAGATGGTGTAGGAGTCGCATTGCCACTGGCGAGTCTGGCGCTTGATGTCTGCGAGAAGGATTTGAAGCCTTTGGGAGTGTTGGCGTCGCCAGTGGAGTCCAGCAGCGCCGGCGGCACGCCGGTGAACTCGAATGGCATATCGTATGCTCTGCTGTCGCGCGTCTATGTTGGTCTCTTTGACGTACTATTGGTTTCGGGGCGGTGTTTGCGAAAGTTGCAAGTTGGCAAAATTTCAAGTCCGCAGATGAAGCCGCGGAGTAGGAAAGAGCGACCAGACGTTCAAAAGATGGAAGAATCAGGGTCTTCCTTAGCCTCGCTTCACGGCGAGACTAGCCTGGTTTGTAAAATTACAGAAGTGAATCGTTGGACTCGCATCGTTTGTGCCTGGTCCGTGCTCCCGTCACGTCTCAGCAGATTCACCATTGCCCGCCTTCCCATTCGTACTGCTCTCCTTCGGTATCATCTTCAGTGAGAAGTCAACATGCTTCACGCCTTGGTGGATGCTCGAGGAGCTGATGATATCGACATCATCGCATACGTAGTCTGCCACGTTGTCCTCGGTCAAGCCTCCCGAAACTTCCACCAACGCTCTCGCATTTTGCCCTCTGCCCCACCGGTCTTTGAGATTCTTCGATGCCACTCTCACGCCGTCTGGTGTAAAGTTGTCCAGCATCACCACGTCTGCGCCGGCCTTGATAGCTGTCTCTGCCTCCTCTTCTGTTTGGCACTCCACTTCTACCTTGACTGCAAATCCGCCGGCCGATTTTGCTGCTGCAACTGCAGTTGGTATTGAGCCACCGCACGCCCAGACGTGGTTATCTTTCAGCATTGTCATGGTGCTCAAGTCTTGTCTATGAGGATCGCATCCACCCACGAGCATGCCATACTTCTCCACCAGCCGGAAGCCGGGCGTAGTCTTGCGTGTACCAGCCAAAGTGTTCTTGTAGCCTGCCTTTCGCAGCAATGAGAGCAGCGAATGCGACTTGCTCGCCACGCCTGAGCATCGTGCAAGCACATTCAATGCCACGCGCTCGCCAAGCAGCACGCATCTCACCGGTCCTCTCACTGTCGCCACATGCTGCTTCTTCTCTCTCCCGACTTCGTCGCCCTCTTTTACGAACCACTCAACGGTGCAGTCCAACTGCTTGAAGATCTCGTCGAAGAACGGAACTCCTGCTAAAATGCCAGCGCTCTTTGCGAGCAGTCTCGCCTCAGCAGGTCCATCGCCGACCACGAAACCTCCATAATCGAAGCTTGGCGTATCTTCTTCGAGCCAGAGAGCGATGGATCTCTTCCAAGATGGTGGAAGCAGGTGGGCAGGATTGCCATGAACTGGCGCACCCTCTGTGATTGGCATCGTGGAGGTGGTGTTGATTGTCCTACGTTGTCGGTTGCACTGCAGGTAGGAGAGGATGGGATAGCAAAAGCTTGCGTTTTATTCACTTACTGTTCGATCTGCACGATTTCAAAGCTTCAAATACTCCGACACAATTTCCGCCGATGTCGTTGTCGTCGGAGGAGCAAAGGAAAGGACCGGCATCGTCGGAACTCTCTTTGAAAGAGCCGTCGATCAGCTAATCACGTGAGGCATCACGAAAACGACGCGTCCCAGGCTCCCGTCCAAGCTCCCCTCCTCAGTCCTCACTTGACCTTCTCTTCTTCACATGCGCTTCACATGCGTGTGGCCGTGCATTCTCCTACTTGTGGATGCTTCACTCCAACTGACGACGTGACTAAATGAAGAGCAACGATGGCATGACCTTGAATGAGCTTTGGCGAGGCACGCCTAGTCATCGTCATTGAACACAACCGCTTATAACACATTGATCACATTTGGACACCATGGTCGACATAAAACGCGAGAAAAAACCAGTCCCGATACTTCAGCAAAGCAGCGCTTTCGGAAGAGTGAAGAAAAACCGCAGCGCTCCTCCAGCAGCATTCGTCTCCAATCAAAAACTGCTCCAGGTCTTCCACTGCGATCAAGGCGAACTGGATCTGCTCAAGTTTCATCTCGGAAAGACATACGACTCTTTTCACGAAGTCCGGAGTAAGGATGAGATCTTCGAGTATGTGGCAGATATCGATTCGGACTTTCGTGAGATGTTAGATGGTCAGAGGTGGCAAGGCGAAGCTTATCCGGGGGATCTTCAAAAGGATTTGAGCGAAGCTAAAACTAAGCTTTGGTATGTGATGAAGTCACGCAACAGTAATATTGCGAGACGAGAGCAACAGCGCAAGCAGAAGAGGGCAAGGGAGGGATGGGATGGGAGGTTCAAGCACGTTTCTGGGAGAGTGGCGGGGAACGCGATTGTGATCCTGGACGACGACTGAATACTAATCTTGCACCAATGCCATTTGGCTCCCTTCCATTTGCGAGTCGTGGTCCTCGCTGTTCATCACACGGAGACTGGATACTTTCCGGCATCAGATCTTTCAGCTGGAATGGCTTTCTGAATTCTGCTCGAGCTGAACAAGTGCGCATATCTCTCGGCCTTCAAAATGGATCTATCCCTGACACAACAAGATTCCGATCTCCGGAGAACATTCTCAACCACTCTGCAGTCTTCGAGCATGATCGGTCTTCGACAAAGCAGCCTTTGATGGCGGAAAGACTCAGCAATCAAAAGTGTTTGCTTTTCAGCTTTCTTGACGATACTTATACTCGTAGTTCCAGACTACAGTACGCAGCATTCTGCCAACTCAGACTTGTCCAAATTCAGCCATGGCGACTCAAGGGAACGCCAACACCAACTTCCCTGTGCACTTCGATCCTGGACTCGATAACATTGCGAATTGGAAACCATCGACGCTCGCTGTAAGCCATAACGCCACGATTGAGCAGCTGCTATCCCAAATCAAGGGTCTCATCATAAGCGGTTTTGATAATGACGGCGATGACCGGTTTAAGGTACAGAACAACGGACTCACGCCTTTCATGGGCCACTTGACGCAAGCGTACAACAAGAAGAATACTACAACCCAAGTCAGCGCGGATACAATGTGGACCATTTGGTTCCGCGTGAGGTTTGTTTTCCCACTATCAAATGGCGAATCGAGGACAATCCAATTGGAAGATGGAGTTTGGCAACGACACCCTGAAGTTCTAGATATTGTAAAGAACCGGAACAACATCAGTGGATTGAGTACCGCAACCATCCGAGTCTCTTTGGAATTGGAGAAATGTACTCAAAGCCGCATCGCGACCATACAACATGATAAGAATTTGAATCATGTCGTTTATCCCGTTCGGCAAAAGGTTGAGTACTTCAGATGTGGTCTTGTCCAGAATGGTGCGCCCCAGCTTGACAAGTATGGCTTGCTTGAGGTACCTAGAGACCAAGCCGGAAGCCCAGTCGAGCGGAAGAATGTCATCATTGCTCGTTACGAAGAGAGCAATGAGATGGCGCTGAGTGACGATTTCAGATTGATGGGAACCTGGAAGTTCGGTTCTGGAACTACGTGGTTCAGAATCGGTGACCCAGACGACGCCGGTCAAGGCCACACACTTGGCACCTTCGACAGTAAAACATTACTCACCCAAACGTTTCAAGTGAATGGCGGAAACCCACCTTTCAATGGTCTCCATGCTACGTTCGCTTCTCACAAGAGGGGTCAACATCCCAGAGAAATTCCGAAACTCCCTCCATTGACCGGAAATGTCTTCCCTCGTCCACAGCAATTGCAGGATCCACAGAACCAATTGCCTAACGGAGTATCTTGCACGATCATCATCCGTGTTGTCTATCTCGTCACAAGCTTTACCTTCGATCACCTGGAGCGGAAAAGTCCACGAAACATCAACTTTTCTGTGACGAACAACACGACGTTCGAGGGTCTGGCGTTTAGGTTGTGGAAGCAGTACGGCGGCGGAGGACAAGATCGCATCCGTGCCGGCCTCACGCTTCAGAACACTAGGAGCAATTGGTGGATCATGCCAGACCGTGGGAATAATGTGATGCAAAAGATGCACAAGGTACAGGACGAAGAAACTCCAGTGGTGAGGTATATTGACAACGCGTCTGGAAGGACTGCGGATGTGCTTATGTATGCTGAGTGTCACATCCGCAATGGCGACGCTCCGCCGATGTACCTTGCGAATGGTACATAAGACTTGCGAAGACATGCGCGATGAAGAAGTGGGTTGAGGAGGATGCTTGTGTATCGTTAGCGTCTTCCATGAAATCAGTGCGTTGCGCGAGAGGTTTTCCGTAGAATGCGCTTTCTAACATGTCTTGGCCGATTGATGGCATGGTGCATGTACGATCAGATAACTAATGCGCTCTATGTCCGAGGCCATCCAGACTCCCGATGAGTCGCGATGGGATCAACTTCGCCTGGTGGAAGAATGCGGGAACACTCAGCAACGCTTCATCCGCTTCTGAAATCCAAGGGAAGCTTGCGGTCGAATTCTTGCTCGTGGTTGTCGATCGTGATGGGGTCGTGGATAGGAGAGACTTTGCTGGAGTCACAGATCGCGATGACGGAGCTACCAACGTGGGTTCCGAGACGGCATCCTCAACTTCATCATCGTGTCCAGGCCAACGCTGCACAAGATCGGACTTCCTGAAATATGACTTCCGTTGCCGATGCACAACAGTTGAAGCTATAGCAAGCTGTACGAAGTAGCTATCAAGCCACGTCAGCAACCGTGACATGCATGCTGTGTCCGCGGAAATTTGTGCTTACAAGATGAATAGCGTCGGCAGGGCTCGAGGCGATGCAGAATTACCAAGAGTGTACCAGCTCGCATATCGACCCCAGCCATCTCCTCGATATACCCACGGACAATATCCAGGCGCTGTCCCCTTGGGTGCTTGTATACACAATTCCCAGAGCACGAGTTCGAGCGCCCATATAACCACAGCAGTGACCGAAGACATCAAGATCCACGAAGGCCGGAGCCGGTCGGTCCATAGAGCAAACATTTCCGATGCTGTAAAGGCGAGGGAGACAAGCGGAATCGTACACCAAAAGAAAACCAATTGTCTATCCAAGATTTAGCGTCTTGCTCACTTGAAGTCCGAATGAAACTCACGCTCGTATCAACGACGAATGACTTCGTGCGTAGTCCGGAGAATTCTCGTAATCAAGCTCAAGAGCCACTGCCGTGAAAATCGACAATAGCAGTATCGCAAAAGTATCGACCAGTATCAACGCCGCAACGATCGGCATGGCAGTTCGCTGCCATCCCTTCCAAGGCGCCCTGATAGCCATACCTACGTTCGAAGAGAGAAGAATTCTATACAGAATGGAAACAGGCGAGCGACATGACTTCCTACCTGTCTGTATACTCCAAGCTCGAAAAGCCAAAGCCACTCTCATCTCAGCACACATATTGGATGATCAAAATTTTGGGAGGGAGTGGTGAAACTCTGTTCCAAGAGGAAGCAAACAATGGGGGAGTCAGGATTCATCCAGAAGGCTTTCCACGGGGCGCAAGAGAGCTGGAAATAAACAATTCGGCGTCGCGGTTGTGTGGTTGTGAAAGGCTGGATTGGGGCAGTGCGGCTTGCGCGACCCGAATGGCGTTGGCAGCCATGAGGAACAGGAGCGGGAAAGGATATATATGGCCAGCCTCGTGCTACAAGGCTACATCTGTCAGATGGGGATTGATTGATGGAGGCATCAGCGAGCATTTCCTTCGTGGTTGATTGTGTCTTGCTGACGGCATGGAGGCATTGCAATGGCCTGAGTTGGACAGTGCGGGGGGACGCATTGTGTTGTGGCGAGCTGTCGGTGATGCTGAATAAATGTGAGTAGCCACCCCGAGCTCTCGAAATTGTGTAGCGGTATTGCAGATGAGCAATCTGGGGCGCGGAGTGGCATCGTTTGCGAAAGATTTGGTCGAAGCCATTATGGGGGATGAAGTGATTGATGCTATTTTTATATTTGGGGGTCAAAGTTCATCCGTGCCGTGATTACATAAGCGACATTGGCCTGCCCTGCTCAGAATGTGGCGATCGTGCCGTACCTCTTGTGTACTCATCCACAAACCAGCATAGAAATATCTAAATGTTGAAGCCGAATCAATAACAATCCCTTTATCAACTACAAACGAACAGAACCTAGTCACGTAGTTCAGCTTCCACCCTACATATCCCGCCCGACACAACACGAAAACGAAACCAACCATCACGCGACGCGAATACGTGATGCAAGAAGATAAATAGTAAGATGTCTTGATAAGCATTCCGACAAACACCACACAATCTCTCCAAACAAAAACAAAATGCCTCCTCCAACACTCATCAAGCCACTCCAAAGGCAGCATCTCGCGCCGTTTTCAACGCCATTCCTCCAAAAAAAAAACTACTACTCGAAACCTCAACACGCCTCGAAAACAACCACAACCACACGAAATCAAACCTCCAGCCTGCCTTGACCTTCTCCTTCAAAGACCTAGGGGCCTCCCCACTCACAAAAACATGCCTCTACATTTTCGCAGGAATACTTGGGACGATGGAAACATACACGTACGGATTGTGGGGTTATAATACTTGGTGGAAACCGAAGTGGAAATGAGAGGAAGAAGAAGCAACTTCAGCATCATCGTTTGTTGCGTTTTCTTTATCTAGAGTAGACTCCTCTCAACTGAAATTTTCGTGCGAGCCTCTGAAAACACCTCTTTTTCATGCACATCTCGTCTACCAGGTATTGCATGCCATGCGCCGCCCACATCAAGGACTCCTTCCAAGCGCTGTTCTTTCTCTCTATAAGCGAGCTATGCGGAAAGCGATGATTCCAGCCTCCTCTCATCGCGCAACCTTGTAAGCTGCTCGATCGCTTGATCTACAGGAATGAGCTCGCCCATTTTCTGGGTAGCTGGGTCATCTCTGTTACGGATGTTGACGGATCTGCTCTCCTTCTCTTGTGCTCCGACGACGAAGATGAAGTTGTACTGTGCAAGCTGACCGGTACGGATCTTCTTCTGCATGGTGTTGCCGGAAAGGTCGACGTCGACGTGCATGCGCTTCTCGCGGAAGAGAGATTGTAGCTCGAGGACGTAGTCGTTGACAGCGGGCATCACAGGGACTATGAGGATCTGGCGTGGTGAGAGCCAGAAAGGCCACTTGCCGCCGAAGTGCTCGGTCAAGATGGCGATGAAGCGCTCGAAGGATCCGTAGATGGCACGGTGGATCATAACTGGTCGTGCACAACCTGGAGTGAGCTCACGGCGGTAAGATGCCGGGTCGGGCATGGCGTCTTTGGCGGCAGCAGAAGCTACATCGCCGGTCTCAACAGGTGCTGGCGCTGGGTGAATGGGTAGGTCTTTCTGGTTGTCCGGAACAGCCTTTGGTGGCTCAACGGCCTTGTCGCCGTTCACGGCAGGCTTGTCTGCTTCCTTAGCAGCGGCTTGCTCGTCAGTACGGAACTCGAGGTTGAACTGTCTGGGCAAGTTGAAGTCGAGCTGAATGGTGGCGCACTGGAACTCTCGCTTGAGTGCATCGGAAATTGTGACATCGATCTTTGGACCGTAGAAGGCACCATCGCCTGGGTTCAATTCCCAAGGAGTGCCCGTCTGCTCCTTGAAAGCGTCGAGAGATCTAGAGAGCTGCGCCTCTGCGCGTTCCCATGTGGCTACGTCGCCAAGATGGCCTTCCGGTCTGGTGGACAGCTTCATGCGGAATTTGAAGCCAAAGCGTCCATAGACAGCCATCATGAAGTCGAACAGGCCATTGATCTCTTGCTCGATCTGAGCTTCAGTGCAGAAAATGTGCGTATCATCTTGCTGGAAGCGACGCACACGAGTCAGGCCGGTGAGGGCTCCAGAGGCTTCGTTGCGATGGAGGATACCAAAGTCGGCAATGCGCATGGGCAGCTCGCGATAGCTACGTTCTCGGTGGGCGAAAAGCAAGCAGTGACCCGGGCAATTCATGGGCTTGAGTGCCCACTTGTCTTTCTCGACGTCGAAGGTAAACATGTCCTCGTGGTAGTGCTGCCAGTGACCGGACTGCTTCCAGAGGGCGGAGTTGTACATGTTGGGCGAGGCGACCTCCTGGTAGCCTCGCCTCCAGTATTCTTCCTTCAAGTACGCCATCAACGAGTTGTAGATGATCATGCCATGAGGAAGGAAGAAGGCGGAACCGGGGGACATTTGGTGGAAGAAGAAGAGCTCTTGGTCTTGGCCAATCTTGCGATGATCGCGCTTGGCGGCCTCCTCGAGCAGCTTCTTGTGCTCTTCAAGGGCCTGTCAGACGTCAGCATGGTTAGAGGTAAAGAGGAAAGAGCACTGGGGAATTTTAATGACGCACCTTCTTGTCTGGAAATGAAACACCATAAATACGCTGCAGACTGTCATTCTTCGCGTCTCCCAAGAAATATGAGGCCGAGTTCTTCATGATGTCGAATGCCTTAACACGACCAGTATTGGGCACGTGAGGCCCTCTGCACAGATCGATGAGTGACCCGTTCCGATACACAGTGGTGGATGTGCCGTCTGGGATTTTGTCGCGGATGATGTGCTGCTTGTACTTGTTGTACGAGAACATCTCCAGAAGGTCCTCCTTGCTCAGAGTCAGTCGCTCGAAGGTCTGCTTCTCCTTGACCACCTTGTCGACGATCTGCTTGAGCGGCTTCCAGTCTTCGTGGGTGACAGCAGCGTGGTCAGGCAGTGCCATCTCGTAATAGAAACCGTCGTCGACCGGTGGACCAATGCAGAGCGAGGCGCCGAATCTCCGCTCACATGCTTCACCGAGAATGTGTGCGCTACTGTGCCAGAAGACTTTCTTTCCTTCTGGATGCTCAAAGTCGAGGAGCTCGAGCTTGCAGCTCTTCTCCAATGGCCGGTCCATATCCCACAGCTCGCCATCAACGCGCGCAATCACCGTGCGCTCGAAGAGACTCTTGCTGATTTCTCGGGCAATCTGGGCGGGGGAAGTGTCCCAGCTGGTTCCCTCCTTGACACTGCCATTGTCCAGCGTGACTTCTATCTTCTCTCGTGGTTGCTTGGCCTTCCACGCATCTTGTTCGGCCTTTCGCTTGTCGAATAGTGCATTGCGGGAGGCGAAGTACGATGGTGGCGGGTTCAGTTCGAGCGGTCGGATCTCGCCAGCGTCTTTCTTGTCTTTGGGCGGCATAGTGCTGTAGCTTTTATTCGGTCGTGTGCAGCATGTGACGGAGATGGGGACGGGGACGGGCTTTGAAGTGCGCAAGGTCGATTGAGTCAGGCGTGTGAGGGTTCGCAGTGGGCGCAGCATACAGGAGCAGCACTGAAGAGTCAGCGTACTACTATGGCTGCAACTCCGACTCCGTATGCGATATGCGATATGTTACTCACTTCTTGTCCCTGACACAGATCTAAACATTTAAGCGAGGGGCTAGAGTTTAAGCTCGGACTAGCGCGATTCCCTTCCCACCCTGCACTTCTTCTTCTGGCTTCGAGATACAAAAAACAAGCAGATTATTAAGTGAAGGCCCCGAAGAAATCGGCTGTAGCAATACGAGGAGCTTGCGACGAGTTATTGCGGAAGTCGATTTCGAGGGGACTGAGCGCAGTTACAATCAGACGGACTTAGCATAACGTAGCAGGTGAATGTGTGTGTCTCGGAAGGTGCAGTGTTCTATAGTATAATAGGGGCTTTAGCATTCAGAGCGGACCTAATACAAATCTAGCGTAGCCTCTCATTGGTCGAAACAAGGCGAAAACATATAACCTCTGCCTCAGGTTCTACTTTATAGTCGCGATCGCTCATGGCGTATATACAGCTAATATAAGGCTAACTGACAAGCCTATTTAGCATACATCGCGCAGAGGGTACTAATAGCTTGCGATTCCAAAGGGTGCTAATGGCTTGCGATAACAAGCCTATTCAGCATGCGTTACGCAGAGGGTACCAATGGCTTACGTAAACTGAGTATAATTGTAACTGCGCTCAGTCCGGGGCCTTCACTTATATGCTTAAGGTCGCTTCGCTAACCTTTCAGCTCACCATTTTAGAATACTGCACTCCGTCCCTTCGTCCTGCAGGTCATATCCTCACATCTACCATGTACCCTGCACGCCTGTACCGCTCGTGGCATCCCCATGCATCCCTTGTGTCTTCTCGGATTCGTCAACTTCAGGCCAGAGCCCGCCTTCGCGCCCAGTGAGGATAGGTAGGTATATCAGTACGCCGCGCCGTTACGTCTTCCTAAGACTGAACAGTATATCCTGGAGTGACATTCAGACCTTGTTGTAAGCGGAACGGGAACATGCAACATCCCGGATCCCGGCGGTCCACGAAGCTGCCGCAGTGGTAGATGACTATCTCCGGTTCAGACCCTTGCTAACTGAGCGCAAGGAAGTATAGTAGGTATGGGTCTTCTGCCTGCCTTCCACTACTATACTCCTTCTACTACTACTACTACCACTACCAATCTATATCGGACTACTACGCGACCGGACCCACACTACTACACTAACCTCCTTGCGCTAGCAAGGGTCTAAGGACAAATGTCGCAAAGCTATAGAGGCAGTTCTTATAAAAATACTAGGTTATTAACTAGCGTGAAATCTCGTAATTTAGTACTCGTATCTTATTATCCCGTCAATTCTGAGTTATTCTATATATATAGTATTTAAATGCAATACGTAGTTATTAAGAAAATAAGTAATATTTAATATAGGTAGCTATAGGTATACGACGGGTTAGTGCAGTATCTAACTACCTAACATCTAATACACGAAATATATATATCTAAGACTAGGAGATTGTAGAGCGACTATTTCTAAATACTATTTATATAGACTACGTATATCCCTAATGCCTACCTACTAAATACTAGCTCTCGAGCGAAGCTAACTTGTTTACTAGAATTATATAAGAACCTAAGCAAGTGAAGTCTCCTGTCCTGCCTTAGCAAGCCTATGTAATAATCATGTGATGTTATTACGTATAGTACGATATAGCCGCGCTAGCGATAAGCTTGCTTAGCGCATACGCGTAATACTCGATTACTCGTACGGATATACTCGGTAGCCGGTATAGCAGATATACTATCCGTGCTAGGCCTAGTTAATAGTAGTCGCTCTGCCCTATTCTAAGAAAGGTACGGTTTAGTTCTACTTTCTACTACGGCGATTAGTAGAGGGTGTTCTGTACGTTGCTATATACTTATTTTCTTATAGTTCTAAACCGTCGACCCTTCGTAGCGGCCTATAGAACCCCGAAAGATAAACGTAAGCAATCCGAACGCGCCGGGCGCGGGAAACGCGTAGAATAATGCATTAGGAGCGCCTATAGTATTAGAAAACGACGCGGCGACACGATAACACGAAGCCGAACACTAGGCGCGCCGAGAAGCGACCCGCCTACGGCTCGAACGATTTCTAGCTAAGCAAGAAGTGCTTAGGCTAGAAGTACAGGCTTAAGAAGCTAAGCGAGAGAATGCGCGTCTTCGTACTCTTAGGGACGTAGGCGATACGCTAGCTCCGAGCAGCGGTACCGCCGGCGAGGGTCCTACGATAACCCTACCCCTAAGCGACGAAGACGATAAGGACAAGGAAGAATTAGCTAACGAGTCGATTTAGAGGCCTAAATCTTAGAGAGCTGAATCTGTCTCGTATCGACTACCTCTTTCTAGAAGTGCGCTAAGCGTAGCCCCTATACCTAGTATAAGCTACGTAGTCGCTAGTCTTACGGCTATTAAGCCTCGCCTAAAGGAACCTAAGCCCTTTAAAGGCGATACGATTAAGGAGTCGAGGCGATTCCTTAGAGAACTTTCTATTACCTTTACGCTATCCGGAGCTACCTATTATACGGACGAAAGCAAGGTGCTTTATAGTATTATATACCTCGTAGGCGATGCGTAGGAGCGATAGCATAATAAAAACAGCCTTAAGGACCTGCAAAATTACACCTACTAGGACTTTAAAACCTTCTATCGGGACTGCGTCGGGGACCCTATAAACCGTATGCTAGACGTAACCCTCGAGTATAAGGCGGCCTGTTAGCGTAAGGGACAGTTAGTCTAAAGCTTTGCCCTTAAGCTCGCAGTGCTCGAAGATCAACTTAGCGACTATAGCGAGGAGTATAGGATCCGCTATCTCCTCGTCAAACTCTAGCCGGCGATTCGTAACGCGATTATTAAATACTATACGGTACTAACGACGCGTTACGAACTCGTAGAGCTTGCGACGCGCATCGAGACCCCTAATAAGCCGTCTAGTAAACGCAAGGATCGTAACTACGATAAAACCGGAGGTAGTAAAGGTAAGAAGCGTCGATCTAATAGTTAGGCCCGTAAGCAGTAGTTAAATCGCGACCGTAGCGCAGGCGGGAAGTATGCGAAAGGCGATAACTCGTAAGGCGGGTATAACATTAGTAAGGTCGAATGTTATAGCTGTCGCTAGAAAGGCTATTATAAGAACGCGTACCCGAACCGCTATCTCTAGAAAGACGACAACCCTACGGTGCGCAAGGTAGCCGCTAACGCTAAAGAAAAGAAGAACGACTCGAAGGCTAAGGGAAAAGATAAGGCACCTCCTAAGAGCTAGGGATAGGTGCGGAATCTCAACTAAGTAGCTTAGTAGTAGTAGTACCTACGGGACGCGTACGCGGAGCAATCGTTACGTAAGAAGGGGAAGTGTCCGTCGAATGCTTATTAGATAATGCTGCTAACATTAATGTAGTATCTTAAGAATTCGTTCTACGATACTAGCCTTAGCGGATTGTTAACGCCGTACTACTTAGTGCCGACAGTTTCTAGGGCGACCGAGGATACTGCTACGGAGCGTATTATCTGCGCTTACGGATCGCCGACTCTATAGGCTAAGAACGCATTACTACCGGAGTGTTCTACGCTTTCGAAATGCCCCTCCCTAATATTATTCTTAGCAGGCCTTAGAGGCGCGATTAAAAGGTAATCGTCGATAGTTCGACGGATGCCTAGACCTATAGGAACGAAGCCGTAGCGCGTTCGATACGCGTACGGGAACTATAGGAATTCTAGAAGGATATGCGTAACGCCCTATACGTATATACGATTAGCGTTCGCTAGCTCCGCGATATCGCTAAAGGTTCCTCCTTACTAGAAGAATTTAAAGACTTCGAAGACGTCTTTATAATAACGCCCGAAGCGAGACGTAAGCTCCCCGAAGACGTAGAGTATACGATTGACCTAATCCCCGGAACGAAGCCGCTATATAAACCTCTCTACTATTCTTTAGGAAGAGAGCTTAGCGACCTTCGTAATTACCTAAGCTTAGCCTTAGACAACGATTGGATCTAGCTTAGTATAAGCGAGGCGGGTACGCCGATCCTGTTCGTACTAAAGAAGGATAGTAGTCTAAGACTCTACGTCGATTATAGGGGGCTAAACGAGATTACTATCAAAAATCGTTACCCCCTGCCCCTTATTAGCGAAACGCTTAATAGGCTTAAGGACGCCGAATAGTACACGTCCTTAGACCTCTAGGATATATATTACCGCATCCGTATTAAGCGGGGCGACGAGTAGAAGACTGCGTTCCGTACGCGGTACGGGCACTTCGAGTATAAGGTAATGCCTTTTAGGCTTACTAATGCTCCTGCTACGTTTTAAGGATACATTAATAGGGCGTTAGCTAGCCTAGTTAATATTTGCTATATCGTCTACTTTAACGATATTCTTATCTATAGCAAAACGCGAGAGGACTACGTACGAGACGTACGCGCTATCCTTGCGCGGCTCCGGAAGTTCGCCTTATATACGAATAGAAAGAAATGTTCCTTCTAGAAGAAAGAAGTCGAATTCCTCGGGTTTATCGTTAGTACCGAAGGCGTATCGATAGATTAGCGTAGGGTAAACGCTATTACCGAGTAGCCTCGCCTATTAACGCTAAAGGAGGTTTAATCCTTCCTCGGATTCTATAACTTCTACCGGAGGTTCATCCCTAATTACTCCCGGATCGTTATACTACTAACCGCCCTATCGAAAGGAGCCGTAAATAGCTAAAAGCTAGGGCAGGTCCCGTAGGGCGAAAGCGAGGAGCAAGCGTTCCGCTAGCTAAAGGCTACCTTTAGCTTAGCCTCGATGTTGCGATACTATAATCCTACGAAGCCCCTACGTATCGAAACCGATGCCTCTACGTTTGCCTTAGTAGGAATTATATTACAATAGAGCGAAGATAGGAATTAGCACCCTATTGCCTTCTAGTTACGAAAAATAGTCCTAGCCGAGACTAATTATAAGACCTATAACTAGGAGCTCCTAGCGGTTGTCGAGTCCTTTAAATATTGGCGCCCGTACCTCGACGGCGCTTAGTATACGACCCGCGTAGTTGTCGACTACGCTAATCTTAAAGGCTTTATAAAGATAAAGCAGCTCGTCGGAAGGTAGGCAAGATAGGCGACCTTCCTTATACCTTTTAACTTTACTATTAAACATCGGGCTAGTAAGCGAAATCTAGCCGATACGCCTTTACGATATAGCGACTACGAGAGCGAGTCGTAGGCGGTAAACAACCTTCTCCCTATATTGCAGTCGAAACTAGCTCTATAGTTAAATCTGCCCGAGGATATCGAGCCGATTGTAAAACGTATCTCTATTATATATATAGGGATGCGAGACGCTAGTATAGCGCTAGCGGAACGCAAGGGTTTCATTAGTAGTCCCGTAAGAGTAGCGGCTACTATCGTTAGGAATAATAGGCCCTACTGCGAGACGCCTAATATAATCCTTAGTTTCGTACGCACTTTATAATAGCTAGAGTAAGCGAGAGGAGGAGGCTTATACGAGACAAGCTTACCGTCGGGTAGCTTAGCCTCGTTAAGTAGTTCTAACCTCCCGCCTAGCTATTCTCGTCGTAGTAACCTTATTTACTACGGCGATGCGCTATATGTCCCTAAGGACTACGCATTGCGTATATAGCTAATACGTATACACTACGACGACCCTTTAGCTAGACACTTTGGTATAGCTAAGACTATAGACCTAATACGCCGAAAGTACTTCTAGCCGAAGATAGCCGAGGATATTACGGCCTATATCCGTACCTATAGAATTTGTTAACAGTCGAAGGCGAAGCGCTATCGCCTATACGGCGAGCTCGCTGCTCTGCCTATACCGACCCGACCTTAGCAAGAGTTAACGATAGACTTTATTACCGATCTCCCGCCGAGCAAGCTCGGTGCCTACGTATATACTGCGATCCTCGTAATAGTCGACCGCTATACGAAGATAAGCCTCTTTATCCTAACGACGAAGAAGTGCATAGTAGTAGAACTCGCGGATATCCTTTAAAGGGAGGTAATTAGGCGTTTTAGAGTGCTATTAGGTATTGTTAGCGATCGTGGATCGCTTTTTACTAGCTAG